GAGCCCAATGCATTTCCGACCAGGAACACATTACCAGTGAACTCAAGCGCGTACACCAGGCTCTCAGGGCTAATGGTTACTCCGACTACACAATCCGCAAAGCCATCACTCCAGTCATGAAGAAGGATCCGCTTGTGGAGCCACTCAAAACCATCACCTTACCCTACATTGCAGGGGTCACTAAAAAGATCTCCAAAATCCTGAATAAACACAAGATCCAGGTCCGATTCAACACAGTACATAAAATCCGTGATTTAGTTCCATCTGTAAAAGATGCTGTTCCAGACATACAGTACCCGGGCGTTTACAAACTAAAGTGCTTCTGTGGTAGTAGCTACATTGGAGAAACCAAACGACATATCTCGGACCGCATCCGCGAACATAAAGCAGACTTGAAACACGGTAGGACGAACTCCTCTGCCGTGGCAGATCACTGTTATAATTCAGTGGGCACACATGACATTGACTTCTCCAAGACGGAGGTTCTTTGCAAACCAACCGGCTACCATGAGAGATTCGTTCATGAGGCCATTCACATATACAAGCACAGAGACAATTTCAACCGAGAAGATGGATTCTGGCTTAGTAACCATTGGAAAGATGTTTTAAACCATTTCTGTTCTTAATTAATTGTATTTTATGATGACCTTCAGACCGCAGCTCTTTCGCCAGCATTGACTCTTAATACCTCTCACACCACGGTTAATGGTATGGTTTACAACATGGAGTATAATAGCGCCTCGCAGCTGTCTCTCTCCCCCTCCTCTGTTCCGACCATGGATGAACTCGTCCGTCTGAACGGGGCCCGTAGCTATCCGTGGTGCTAAAGTTGAGGGTAAGAATCCACCCATTTTTTCGCCATATAGCATTGTGATATATAACGACTTATTGTTGGTAGCTTAGCTGATTGGAGAATATAAAGTTTATTGATAACATTAAGGTAATTTATATTTTAGTTTTTTTTATTGGTTCACTATATAGTATTCATTATATATTGTATTGTATACCTAGTTACTGTGAATAGCTCAGATGTGTAGGCCTTGAGTTCAACATAGTCATTTCTGTGACCAGTCACTAGCTAATCACTCAGTTATTTCAATGCTAAATTCGCCTAGTTATTTCAATGCTAAATTCTCCTGTTTGATTTGTACTAAGTGCCTCGGTGAATGTGTATGCTCTGACTTTAACGTAGCTATTTCTGTGACCAGTTACAAGCTGATCACTCAGCTATTTCAATGCTAAATTCTATGCTAATTCCTTTGTCAAGGGGTGCCTTTGCGGATGTGTATGCTTTAACTTAGCTATTTCAATGCTAAATTCTATGCTAATTCCTTTATCAAGGGGTGCCTCTGCGGATGTGTATGCTTTAACTTTTAACATAGCTATTTCTGTGACCAGTCACAAGATAATCACTCAGCCATTTCAATGCTAAATTATATGCTAATTCCTTTGTCAAGGCGCTTTGTTTCCTCTCACACAGCTTTAAGGTCGTGATCTGAACGTGGCTCTTTCACTCCAGCGCTGTCCTACCAGACAATCTCGTCCCTTCACCTGATGAAGGCCGCTTGTGTTGTGGCCGAAACGTCGTGAGGATATTATTGTGTTATTTTATTTTATCAATTTATTATTTTATTCTCATTCTACGTGACTTTACCGAAAGAACCAAAGAAGAAACTTAACCCACTTTATCAGTGTCATTGTTCGTTCATTTTCTACAACATCTATGCGGAGAGGTGGGGAGGAGGAGGGGGGGTGTACATTTGGCCACGCTGCTCCAAATATGACGAGAGCCTCGATACATTCAAGAAACTGGCGTCATCTGTTTGAGCACCAATTGGGTCGAGGCTCAAAAGAAAGCCGTCCCTTGGTGTGGACCAATCAGTTTCAAGGACAATGCCACATATATGATCATAGTATATTTTTTGTTTGCATTTTGACTGCAGGTATTGTGGTTAATGCAGACATGAATCCTTGTAAAAAAGGTTTCAGTTTTGTTGCCAGAAAAAAGGGGAAAAACCCTATTATTAAACTGGATTTTTATTCTTAGCTCTTTCGGTAAAGTCACGTTGAAGGGAAACAATAAAATAATAAAATATATATAACAATAAAAATTATCACGACGTTTCGACCATAACACGACCGTTTGTGTTATGGTCGAAACGTCGTGAGAATTTTAATTGTTTCATATATATTTTATTATTTTATTGTTTCCCTTCAATGTGACTTTACCGAAAGAGCTAAGAATATGAATTACTGCAGTCACGAAAGCTTTAAATCAAAATTTAAACTGGATTTTGTTTATGGGACGAAACGCGGCCTCGCCGTAAAATCACCCGCAATGCGCGGGCATTTGTTGTTATTGTTGTTGTGTTTGTTGTTCCGAGCTGCGCTGCTTAAAACGATGGCCGGACTTTTAAAAGAAGGGGGAGGGGGGGTCAACAGGTTTTTTTTTTAAATTCCACCCTCTCCGTGACCAAGAGTTGCGGTGCAAAGCATGACGAGGAAAAAACGAAACCATCGTTCGCGGCCGTTCGGTCACTGCCGCGTCCACGATTCCAAACGCGAAACGAGCGCCAAGGCTGACGGTGGCGCCGTGCGGCGTGCGAAGTGATTTGATTTGTGTTGTTGTTGTTCGTTGTTGTTGTTGTTCGTTAGTCTTCTGCCATAGACCGCTTTAACGACGTAACCCACCGGGGTTACATTACGCACGTGATTCCGTGTTAACCGCTCGCACGTGCTCTGCGGGATTTCACACACACACACAAAACACAACAGTGACCGAACTCCAAAAATAAATTAATCCGTCCTGGAGTTTCTCAAAACGCGAGAGTGGACATCGGGGGCGTTCGTGCGTTGTTTCTCGAGGACGCGCGTGATGTACGATTCAACTGCGCCATTAGTGTCCTTGTTAAGCTTGTTGTTGCACCGCCTTTGTTACATTTGCTCTTAACGTGCCTTTTTTTAAAGTTAAGCAATGGAGAATTTTGAAATGAGCTCAAATGACATTTTTGTGAGTTTTTGGTTGCAAGAAACATTTTGTCTTGCAGTCTTTTTTTTGTGCAAATGATTTACGACGGGGTTGTTCTGGCAAATGTGCCCAAATGAGCACGCGAAACTAAAATCCTCACTCCTAAATGACATTTCAAATGCAGTGGGTAATATCTAGATATATGAGAGTGCATCAATGCGTAGATTCGAATAGATTCCGAAGGCTCACGAAACACACAGACACACACACACACACTGATTCCTTGTTCTATTGAATCGCGACAATTTATCAAATCGCCCAGAGGTTTATTTTTTTTTCTCTTGCCCCAGTAAATTGCTCCGCTTCCTCCCGAGCATCAAACTGCGCTTTCCCTCTTTCGCGAAGACGGAGCGAAACCATATTGCGGCGTCTCTGTTACGCCGGTTTTAAACTGCACCATGAAGTTGTCTCGTTGGATATTAATATATTTGTGACCGTATTCTCTGGTTCATAACTTACGCTGTCTCCCCTGTATTTTGAAGAAAAAGTTGGGGGACGCGTCTTAGACACCGGTGCAGCTGTGTGTGTGTGTGGTGTCTGTGTGTGTGGTGTCTGTGTGTGTGGTGTCTGTGTGTGTGTCTGTGTGTGTGTGTGTGGGGAGCGGCGGTGTAGCGGTAAGCGCGCTGCGCTACGAACCCGGCCATCCGAGTTTGATTCCCGCTCACGGCCAACACCGGTGACGATTATCTGAACCGGACCTGGGCCTCTCATAGGTCTACTCAGACTGAAATGAGTACCTGGTGCGGTGTGCAAACATCGCCACTTGGGAGACAAAGGAGGCCGGGCGTGGTGCTGGCCACCCACCCCCTCGTGTACCGTACCGGCCTTCATAGGTGCTCGCTAACAGCACTTGCCCCAACACTCTGTTACAGGCTATATGGGGGATCTTTGTGCATGTGTGAGCAGATCTGTATAATTATATTGACACCGAGCACAAGTTTGGGGTGCGCCTTACTTTCCGGGGGCATCTTATTATCCAGAGAATACGGCACGCGAATGAAAATCGTTCCGTTGTGAAAACATTCTGAGCAATGCCTGAGGGCAGTTGGGCTGGAAAAAAATAAGAAGCAACAGTTGGTCAATAAATATGCACGGTTTTTTAAAGTAAAAGTTTCTCAAACGTGTCCCTCTGCCCTTAGTGATGGGGCCAGTCTGGGGTAATTGCCGTGTGTGGAGTGGTTGGGCCATTGGATACCCAGCTCAGCTGTAGCAAAGCCCAAAGCCTGGAGCAATGCCAAGCATTTCCAGATGTTCCGATGAGACCCACAGGGTTGCTGTGAAAGGCACCGTATCTTGTTTGAAAGCCAAAACTAAAACATAAACCACAGAAACTGCAAGGAGAGAGGAGGATGTACATTTTACGAAATGCATCGTAACTTCTCGTCACAGTATATACGTGAGACAAGCTTAATGCACGTTGTGGTGAACTATAATTGAATGAGCAAAACGTGATGATATCGCCAACTGTGCAATACCAGTATCAAGGACTATATCATTTGAAAGTCTACATTTAAAAATACGATTGGCCTTTGGACCATGGTATCACATTAATTACATTTGCAAACCGAAGAATTCCACTATTGCTCTTCAACATGCAGTCAAAGATGTGTTAATGCACATGCATGTCCATCATGACGTATACAACACAAGTGTGTCATGTATGTTACAGGTTTTATTGTAAGAAAAAGAATGCGATCAGCCTTAGGTACTGAGCAACCTTGTCCAGTTAAAGCTGAGGAACAAAGGAAACGACTTTTTATTTAATTTTACCAAGATGAAGGCCTACGACCTGGCCACAAATGAGGGCTCAACGGAAGTGGCTTATTGCGTGGAAATTTGTAGCAGCAGCCAAACCCTATCGACGCACGTTTCTAAACCAAAACAAAAACCCGCAACAAAACACCGCGTCGAAGAAGTAAATAAATACCAAGCGAAATGGTAACGTGAAGAAAGTTCGTGCTGTAATTCTTTATTTTTTTTTAAAACAGATACATAGTCGGTAAATGCATTGACTAGCTACGGAGACAGAAAATTCACGAGGGGGGGTGGCGGGGGAGGGGGGTGCTGCTTGCTACGCGCTGACCTGCGGCTTCCACTCTTTTTTGTTAACGAATACCCAACAAATGTTTAAGCCCGGATGTTCGTATCCCGCGCAATACTCACAGCGATTGGGGCACTTGCGGCTCGTAATCGACAAATAATGTTTGTGAGTTCAATTCCCGAGTCGGGGGGGTGTGGGGGTGTCGACAAGACACTTTGGTTAATATCCACCACCAACTGTGGTCGAGTCAACTCGCTGTTTGGTCCAGGGATGAGACTCTCACCCACCGTAGGAATTTGGATCTTCCACCGGGGCTGCAAACAGGAGATGACCATCATATGAAAACCACCTAAAAAAAAGAAATATCCTTTCGGTGGTGTATATATTTTCTCCAAATTGAGTGTTTTGCTCATATATTTAAGAGATTAGCATGCATGCACTTTGGCGACTGGTAAAAAAAAAACACAAATCCTGCTCTCCTAATTCATACAACGTGTCCGACTCGGCGAAATACGCCCACTCAGTTTGTCGAGTGTCCTGAGATGCTGTCGCATTCAGACGCTATTATCCAAATTCAATTGCATCGTGAAATTTCGTCTTACCATATTATCGCTCGCCGTGTTACACCGTGCAGCTCGCAAACCTTTTTAATGGGGGTGGCCAACGCGTTGCAAGGCGCTGTCGCGATCGGCGGCACGGCAACGCGTTTCTTCGCTGAGCTTTGTGCACGCTTTGTCGCAGGCATCGCCGGCGTGGAATTGGAGGCAGATGTGAGCGACGTTTGCGTAGGGGAGGTGGGGGAGGTGTTTTGAATCGTCAAGTGGCACACGTTTCAATATGCAGGCAGCGAGGGTAAGCACATTTCTAACGCTAACAAGGAGGGGGAGGAACACTCGTCCGACAGCACGGCATGTCGGCCCACGTCTGCATTGGCTCGAGCTCAGGATCTGTTTCCCACTCTGTAATGGAAACTTTCACTGCAAAATGATTATTCTGATGTTCAGCCCACCAGATATATCTCCTTTGTTTAAACATCTCCATATGTGCAACATCCTTTGTTGCCCTTCCCCAGCACCTCCGATGAGCAAGGTTGGCCACGCACGGTGCGAAAGAAGCTCAATGTACGTACAAATTAAATGTTTCAGTTTGGTGTTGAATGCTTTCTCCATTCCATGACGAAAAAACAAAAACACTTGATTTCAATACACGCCGTTAGAAGCTTACACCTGTTATTCTAAAATGGAAAGCAATTACAACCGTCTTGAGTGAATCATTCACATTCTAAGATGTTAAGACATCATGCGTAATACACGATAACAGCGGCTTGTTCCGGGAAGCTTTTGCAATTTGAATATCGCTCTGCAAGTACAGATAACCTTTTGTAGAATCTCACACAACGATGAAAATGTGTACGGATGTTTTCCAAGCACAATGTTTCACTTTGTAAAATGTGTGTTCGAGACTCATCGCGTAGCTCACCGAGAATATCGTGAGCCTTTGAAAAGTGAATTTGAACGAGCAGATTCCAGTGCAGAGGTTGACAAACACGTTGGGCACGGTTATCCCCCGCCGTGACGTCGCATTATTAAATAGTGTATTCTTTGCGAAGGCTTTATGAAAAGTTGCAGACACAATGTGTCAAGGATTTTTTTAACGAGACAAAAAACACACACAAAGGTATTTCATGTTACAGCGTGGGGGGGGGGGGAGCCGCATTCTTTGTTGGGAAGTATACCTAATGTGGCATTGCTTATAGTTCAAATTAAAGTCCAATCAAAGCATTTTTGAACATTAACAACAAAAACTCCCAACAGTTAATGACGGCCAAACGTAAAACGATGGTGACCAGAAAAAAACCCATCAACTTGGGCTTTGGAGTTTCAGTGTGAATTTAATGCCATAGTATTTTTTTGTTCTACACACAGACATGGCCATCGCGATTAACATTTTCCATCTGCTTTTAAGCCAAACATAAAAAAGCCTCGTGCCCAAACAAGCTGATGTACTCCCACATGCGAACATAGAACACAAATACTTAGAAAAGAATAATATTACGTTGTGACCTGTGCCTTCAAAATGGTACCATGTGCCAGGCTCGTCTGAACTAATCCCGCTGCTGCAGGTTGTTGCAATGACACGCCAAATTGTGAGCACGTTGGCATAATAAAGTCGAAGCTGCATATAAGCACACCTTACATAAGCACGGTTCTGATATAAGCAACACATCCTTACATTACACTGGTGGGGGTAAGTTAGCACTGTTGGCTACGTACGGTGCGAAATAAGTTCAACGTACATACGTAAATAAAGGGCACCTTCTGACACAAGAAAACTACTTTGGATATAAGCAACATAGCCATGCTCTCAAGGTGTGTGCTCATAGCCAGCTTCCACTGTATTTGAAAATGTTGGCACTGGTTTGAGGAAACTATTGTTTTTACACACTTAAAGATGTGTTTAATTGCTGTCCAGTAACTGCTCTTCAAATATTTCCCATCAGACGATCACCTGGGAAGGCAGCATCACGTGCGAGCCACGGGGTTCACGTGCGAGCCACGGGGTTCACGTGCGAGCCACGGGTTCACGTGCGAGCCACGGGGTTCACGTGCGAGCCACGGGGTTCACGTGCGAGCCACGGGGTTCACGTGCGAGCCCCGGGGTTCACGTGCGAGCCACGGGGTTCACGTGCGAGCCACGGGGTTCACGTGCGAGCCACGGGGTTCACGTGCGAGCCACGGGGTTCACGTGCGAGCCACGGGTTCACGTGCGAGCCACGGGGTTCACGTGCGAGCCACGGGGTTCGCGTGCGAGCCACGGGTTCACGTGCGAGCCACGGGTTCACGTCCGAGCCACGGGGTTCACGTGCGAGCCACGGGGTTCACGTGCGAGCCACGGGGTTCGCGTGCGAGCCACGGGTTCACGTGCGAGCCACGGGTTCACGTGCGAGCCACGGGTTCACGTGCGAGCCACGGGGTTCACGTGCGAGCCACGGGGTTCACGTGCGAGCCACGGGGTTCGCGTGCGAGCCACGGGTTCACGTGCGAGCCACGGGTTCACGTGCGAGCCACGGGTTCACGTGCGAGCCACGGGGTTCGCGTGCGAGCCACGGGGTTCGCGTGCGAGCCACGGGGTTCACGTGCGAGCCACGGGTTCACGTGCGAGCCACGGGTTCACGTGCGAGCCACGGGGTTCGCGTAGCGAGCCACGGGGTTCGCGTGCGAGCCACGGGTTCACGTGCGAGCCACGGGGTTCACGTGCGAGCCACGGGGTTCGCGTGCGAGCCACGGGGTTCGCGTGCGAGCCACGGGGTTCGCGTGCGAGCCCCGTGGTTTACTTGCTCGGCTGTGAGAGCCTGCGGATCTGCCCCTCGATGTCGTCCCCCTCCAGCGTGAAGGTCTGTGTGCTCGTGGTGCCGTCGGCGTTCGTGATGGTCTTCTTCACCGTGGTCTTCTTGTGGCTGGACGGCTTGACCACCTTGTTGACCTTGGAAACCCTCGTCCCACCTTACAGCACAAATTGCCCAAGTGAAACGAAAACAACAACAATAATACACAGTTTAATTGCTTTATTTAAGCATGCTGGTGGGCACTGTGTTTCATTCTTATAGGGCAGAGATAACATAGGAATTAGAGTTTTCATTTTTATTGAAGCAATGTGCGGGGCAGATACATCGCGTTGTGACGCACGGACACACACCGTCAACACAGGCCAACCCGGTAATGAAAAGCAGGGGATAGAAAGATGAGGAATGGGCTTGCTGCCACAAACGGACTTTTTTCAAAGGTCAATGGAAGGTCTCAGCCCACATTCACCAATGACTGCATGAGAAAAAAAAGAAACCCCAATGACATTACAACTGTCTTCTACATTTCATTTGGCCAACTTCCAGTTGGAGAAGATGAAGATGGATCCCTGCAGTCAAGAAAGCTTTAAATCGAAACATTTCCAGCTGGAGAATTAAAATGTCGCTTCGGCCGTTGTGTGGCCAACAATTGCGCTCGTGTGTAGAGCGGGCGATGGGTAAGGCGTGGCCCTCGATTGTCGTGCACCAACGGTCACTTGGCAGGGCTCTCAGAGGTGGCTCTGTGATATCAACTTTCATGGATGTTGCCTTGGACAAAGGGTTGCACCACTCTTAAAAAAAGAGATCCGAATGGGTTTCTCGTTTGATGACATGACGCTGATAGCACTACTATGGGGGTCTTTTGTTTAAACATTGGAAGTTTTATTTGAGTAAATTGGAAACTTTCTGGAATATGTAAAAGGTCATGCAGCTCTTTTGGCTCGTGCCTTTACGAGCTAAGCTGTCCGATAATTTACTTGCAAGAAATGTTGTATCATAAAAATGCCATTATCTTAACATAAAACGTATTGCCTGAAGCACATTCAAAATATAATTTAATGTTTATTGCTATTGAATGGGCCTTCCAAATCCTGTTTCTAACACTGACTTTGCAATGTTTCCAACAATCTCGGATTTCTGTGTTTGTTATAAGGTCCTCTAGGAATTCCTATTGCATATGATGTACCGGTTTCAAATGTGACTTGCAGTCACCTATAAGAGTGCATTAAGTTCAGAATTGTGGTATTCATCGAGCATGTATGTATGTTGAACTTTTCTTTCGCATCGTACGTAGCCAACCGTGTTAATCGTTCGTAGCCGACCGAATAAGTTATAATTTACGGCTTTTTGTCAAATCTATCGCTGGATAAAGGACTCACTATGCCGCGTCGGTCATGGGAGTAGTTTGACCAAGTTTCACCAGGTGAGTCATAGCGAGTTGGCGTAGTGGTGGGGGGCAGGAGCAGTACGGATATCACGAAGCCACTTTCTCTCTCTCTCTTCCGTATGGCAGCTGATGCAGATGCAGAGCAACGACTACAATTTCACACTCAGGTGGTCAAGCCAGCAGATAACCGCGTCAGGAGCAGCGGCGGAGTAGTGTATCGCTGTGATGTCTCCTTTCATCATTTGTGGATCGGGCATTGCGTTGTTATATGTTCTACGGCCTGTTCTGGATGACCACAGTCGCACACCGGAGCGTTTTTTAAATGTTTCCATTTGAGCAATCAGGTATCCGCATCTGCCACGGTTTGGGCAGTCGATGCGGTTTGGGGCGGACCACGAGCTTCGTGGAAGATCAAACACACTGATGATGGAATAGAACTCTGGCCGACGAGTTCACAGTGCGGCGTACAAGCACTTTCCCGACGCGCACTGGCCAACCATCGCTGACGCTGTGTGGGAAGCCACGTGTCTGTTGATGGCATGGTTGTGCGTGTGTGGGCTCCACGTAACTTCCTGCCAGGTTGAGGCATAATTCCCGGATAGAGGTGAGGTCAGCGCTATGTTTGAAGTACATGTTGGAAACATCTACAATACTGTTTTTTTGAGAACACAATGTATTTTTTTAATGCACTAAAGTAGTGCATTACAAAAATCCATTGTCCGAGCGACTCACAACACGGATTTTGTACGAGTTAAAAATCCGTGCAGTGTACTTCTCTATGAACTAGAACACACATTGTGGTATATAACGTGCACGTTATTAAATGCCATATTTTTCCTGTGCTTACCAGCACCTCTTTCGAACCGTTTTAAACGTGGGTTTAATGCGTTGCATGATTTCACTTGGCACGTTGGCTTTTGAAGCCACCGACCGACCGACCCGCCGACCCACCAGCTGACCCCATTGTTCGACTAACCCTCTGATCCACTGACCAACTCACGTACCCATCGACCTACTGACTGACCAACCGACCGACCGACCGAACTCGCTGTCCGACCAAACATTCCGACCCTCTGAACCCACTGACTGATCGACCCATTGACCGACCCACTGAACGACCGACCACCCACTGACCGACCACGCCACTGACTGACCGTCCCACTGACTGACCGACTGACCCACCATTCAACCCACCGACCGTCCCACTGACTGACCGACTGACCCACCATTCAACCCACCGACCGTCCCATTGATCGATTGACTAACCCACCATCAAACCGACTGACCGTCCCACTGACTGACCGACTGACCCACCATTCAACCCACCGACCACCCACTGACCGACCACGCCACTGACTGACCGTCCCACTGACTGACCGACTGACCCCCCATCAAACCGACCGACCGTCCCACTGACTGACCGACTGACCCACCATTCAACCCACCGACCGTCCCACTGACCGATCGACCGACCGCCCTGCCCATGTAGCCACGCGCGCTGTGCGGAACTGCTCACCGGACTGGAGCTGTGAGAATGTGTCCTCCGAGATCCCGCCGTCTCCGTCGACCACGGTCGTGCGGCTCACCATCGTTCCTGCCGTACGGGGCGCAATCACAGCCACGCAAGCGGGTGGTTTAACGCGAGCACCGCCGCCTATTCAATGTGGCTAACGTCGGTTGACCGCCACATGGCACAGGGGTCACGAGACATTCAGGAGGTATGGGGAGGAACATATTGGCGGGGTGATGATTGTAGGAAGGTATTTGTAGCCCCGTTTATTGTCATTTTTTTAGGAATCATAACTGCATGTTTCACGTTTACCTCCTAGCAATGTCCACATTTGTCTATTTTTTGTGCCCAAGAAGGAATGGACACGCATGGGGAAAATAATAATGACTTATTCTAGACAAAATTGTCAATGATGCTGACTACAAAATCGTCACTTTGAACATTTACAAAGATTATTATTTCCCAAATTGAATGGCCTTTTATTCTTCACTCTCACAAGTTTACAGAATGCATTTCAATAGAACTGCAAAAATGGATAATGAAACTTGGACTATGCTGAGCACAAATATGTATTTCTAGATGGAAACTGATGCTTGCTTAATCAGAGGCAAAGAAAACGTGTTTATCCTACACCCATCAAATTGCTCACTGTTTAACTTAGAAGGCTTGCAGGGTGTATACATTAAGGAAATGGGCATTAAATGCAGTGCATTGTTTGTATGAACCGTGACAAATTTTTTGAATATTTTATTCTATTCTATTTTGGATTTATAAAGCTTCTTTCACCAGGGCGCTTGACAATGCTTCCTGGCTACGGTACACAATGGCAAGATAGGGATGGGGATCGCGTAGTGACGAGGGTGGAGGGCGCGAGGTGGAGGCTGCGGCGGTGGAGGCGTTAGGGGCGTTAGGTGGTGCTGGCATGGGTGACAGAAGAGGAAGGTAAACGGCGGAGCAGAGAAAAGAGACAGGGCGTGAGGGCAGTGCGAGAAGAGGAAGGCGAGGGGGAGAGTCCGATGTGGAGAGAGAGTTCCAGTGTAAGGGGGCAAACAGAGTGAAGGAGCGAAAGTGAGGCTGAGCGCAGGGTGGAGGAGGGACAGCAAGAAGATATGCAGCTTGTGACCGGAGCGGGCGTGATGGGACATATAAAGAAACGAGAGAAGAGAGGTAAGGAGGGGAGGGGGGCAGTCCATGCAAAGCATTGGAAACGAAGGTGAGCAATTTAAAGAGGCAGCGGTGATATCTAGATAGCAAGCCGGTGAAGTTGTTGAAGGAGAGAGGAGCAATGAGAGATGAAGGAGAGGTTAAGGACGGCAGCGTGCGTGCAGCTGAGTTTTGAATTTGTTGTAGAGGGCCAAGGGCGTAGGCAGGGAGACCGCAAATCTGGCTGTCGCCTGATAAAGCTGGTTGTAATTACTGGCGAAACGTCGTGCTCGGATTATAAATGTTGTGGCTTTGCTCTCCAACACACCGGTGTGCTGTACTAGTGACGAATTGGCCACGTTCTGTTCACGTGACAACCCTTACTAGTTGGCTGTGTCTGGTGGTGGCGGGTTTAACGACACACGTATATATTTACGCGATCTAACCCAAAAAAAAACCACTCTATTAGGGAGACTGAGTTGCAACAATCCAGACGAGTGAAGGCTCAGGGGGAGTGCACAAGAAGTTTGTCAGCGGTGATGAGTGGGCGGATCCAAGTTAGACTGAGTGGGGGGCGGGAGGCGGGGAAGTAGAGCACGGTGGTTTTAGAAGGATTCAGGGAAAGTTTTCAGTTTCAGTTTATTTATTTTGGTATAGCCCTGTGAGCCAGTCGGTTCTTGAATCGGGTGCAACCACAACAAACAAAAAAAACAAAAACACGAACAAGAAAAACATCTTAAAGTGACTATGTGACTGTGCAAACAGAAAATCCATGAAAAAAGAAACAGCAAAATATTCCTGAAAAAAGCACCGTACACCAACGCTGTGTGCAAAAAATCCCAGTGGGATGCAAGTCAAACAACATAATTAAAAAATATATAAAACAATACAATTTTATTGTTTTATATATATAGTTTAATTATTATTTTATTGTTTCCCTTCTACGTGACTTTACCGAAAGAACCAAGAATATGAATCCCTGCAGTCACGAAAGCTTTAAATCAAAACTCAACACATTCGTCAAGCTGCCCTAAAACAACACGGATGCAGTATTTCCTCGTTCTTCTTGACGGATACGATCCGGAGATGCTCGTGAATTGTAAATTCCACAGGATAATGATATTGGCATACGGAAACCTATTTTTTTACGAATTGCCTTAAATACGTAAATAAAAAAATCTATTACATACGTGAAAACGATCTCACTTTATCTCATTTTATCTCACCAAATTATCTCTCACCACTTTATCTCTCACCACTTTATCTCACACCAAATTCTCTCCCATAATTTTATTTTATCACTATCTCTCTCTCGTTCTCGATAAAGTCGTCGTGCAGACTTCCAGATGCGAATAGCGGATGTCCAAATTCGAGGACAGCCCAGTTCGTGAATACCAAGGGAATACCGTACGCAACAGATGTCACTTTGGGCAATAGTTCTTCTTCGCAGCAGATATATCTCTCTGCTACGAAGAAGGGGCCACTGCCTGAAACGTAGCCTTGTATATATATTTTAAAAATGTTTTTATTGTTAGGGTAGTGTTACTGAAGAATGTATAGAGCTAGGAGACAAGTTGGATGAATCAGGATGCCGTTCACAGTTGGACGAACGTCCCGCGTGAGTAACCCCGAGCAGGTATATCAACATCGGCGAATCAACGTCGATCGCATTGCCTTGTCTTTTTGTGTCGTCTAAGCAGTTCCGGATGATCCCAGTAGCAAGAGTAGCTACGTATGCTACAGGCCCCGCACTTTGAAGGGCCCTGCGCTAAATGCTTTCAAGCTATCAATCCTGGTTCAGTGATTCTGCACTCGCTCTATTACTACAGTACTATACCGCCTTCAACTTTTACGAACGACTGGGTGTTTAAGGTTAGCGATTTGTCGTATTATGTCCGTATAGCAAATAAAAATATGTAATTACTTTACTATGCAAGTTAAAAAATGTGTGTTTTTAATATTTGCGTGGTTTTAAAAAAAAATTTAGGGCCCCTTTATAACATATGCTACAGGCACCGCACTAGCTTAATCCAACACTGCGTGCAAGAGTAGATTTGTTTCGATTTAAAGCTTTCGTGACTGCAAGGATTCATCTTCTTTGGTTCTTTCGGTAAAGTCACGTAGAATGAGAATAAAATAATAAATTGATAAAATAAAATAACGCAATAATATTCTCACGACGTTTCGGCCACAACACAACAAGCGGCTTGTTGTGTTGTGGCCGAAACGTCGTGAGAATATTATTGTGTTATTTAATTTTATCAATTTATTATTTTATTCTCATTCTACGTGACTTTACCGAAAGAACCAAAGAAGAGTAGATTTGTTCTCTTCCTCCGAGCGTTACGTTGACGTGCGGCGTAAGAAGCGTAGGACAGTTGACGGCGCTCGCCACCAAAGTGGCCCCGCAAAATTCCACGCTCGTTGCCTTTCACGAAGCGGCCTGCCGCCACAGCGCGGCTAGCGCGTTTCAATGAACGGCCTCGCGCGGGAGTTCGCGCGCACACACAAGAGAGGCGAACAAACAATAAACCACATCGGCAAAGTAAACCTACGTCACGCGCGGAAGGCCACGAGGTTTACTAACCGCATAATGCACACATTCCAAGATAAATTCGTTTATCATTTGTTTGTTATCCTTGTGTTTTTAAGAGTTAGCTTTCTTTCCCCGACCAGGGGAAGAGGGGGAAAAAAACCCCACGCATTGTTGTTAAGTCATAACGTGTTGAATCTGGCTTGTTATAGGGGGGGGGGGGGGGGGGAAACCCCACAGAAGTGAATGAATGGTTCGAAACGATGGTAAGCCTCCAGCCATGAGCAGTGGTGCAGGTAGTGCAAACGGCACCAGGGCCTATGGGCTTGAGAGGGCCCAAGCGCTGGGCCATGTAGACCAGGGGTCGCCAACCCCCGGGCCGCGGACCGGTATCGGTCCGTGGCCTGTTAGGAACCGGGCCGCACAGCAGGAGGAGGTGAGCGGTGAGTCGGCACGTGGCCCGCCCAATATTTTATTATTTACCGCTTCCATCCGCGCCTCTTTCCCGCACTGTGCTCTTGTCTCAGTCACAGTGTTGGTATAAAGCCCACAAGCTCCAACCCCCTAGCCAACATGAGTTAAAAAACAAACGTCGCTAGAGAGCTTCTTTGAAAAGGAGAAAAGACCCAATGATGAACCGCCCCCCCCTCCCGGTCCGTGAAAGAATTGTCTTCCACGAAACCGGTCCCTGGTGCCAAAAAGGTTGGGGACCGCTGATGTAGAGGACGATGGGGTCCCATTTCATTTGTTGCACCACATCCCCTGTCAACAACGCTACCTCTAACTGGCCATGACCCTGTACTCACTCTTTGCAATACTGTATTGACGTATTTTGTTGCTGTTTTGTTATTGTTGTCGCCGCTGTGTTCACGCGCCACCTCAATGTCATCAGCCATTATCTCGCCGCTGCTGGATTAAAGTGTCCTCAAGCAACCACCATCTCTCAGAGACTTGGAATGTAACAATTTGCCTGGCGCTTGCAAACAATCCAATTCAGTCACTCCATTTCCACAGTCGATGTCCTCTCTTAGGCATGCTTCCTCCCATGGCTGCCCCTCCAAAACGAAACGAAACTTTTTATTTCACCAGGTAAGGCCCAGTGAGCTACGTAGCTCTTTTTAGAAGCGACCTGGCCACAAATGACAGTTCAACGAAGTGGCTTGTCACGTGGACATTTATGGCAGCCAAATATTCTAAACGCACGTTGATTCTGAATGTGGAGGGAAAACCCGGAGGACCCGGAGAAAAAAAAACACACAACCACGGGGTGAGAGAAATGCAAACTCCAAATATACAGCAGCAGGCGTCAGGGTCGGGAACAAACGCACGACCTCCTGCATACCGGGCGAGGGGGATACAGTGAGAGAAAAAAGTATTTGATCCCCTGCTGATTTTGTACGTTTGCCCACTGACAAAGAAATGATCAGTCTATAATTTTAATGGTAGGTTTATTTGAACAGTGAGAGACAGAATAACAACAACAAATCCAGAAAAACGCTAGTCAAAAATTGTATAAATTGATTTGCATTTTAATGAGGGAAATAAGTATTTGACCCCCTCTCAATCAGAAAGATTTATGGCTCCCAGGTGTCTTTTATACAGGTAACGAGCTGAGCTTAGGAGCACACTCTTAAAAGGAGTGCTCCTAATCTCAGCTTGTTACCTGTATAAAAGACACCTGTCCACAGAAGCAATCAATCAATCAGATTCCAAACTCTCCACCATGGCCAAGACCAAAGAGCTCTCCAAGGATGTCAGGGACAAGATTGTAGACCTACACAAGGCTGGAATGGGCTACAAGACCATTGCCAAGCAGCTTGGTGAGAAGATGACAACAGTTGGTGCGATTATTCGCAAATGGAAGAAACACAAAATAACTGTCAATCTCCCTCGGCCTGGGGCTCCATGCAAGATCTCACCTCGTGGAGTTGCAATGATCATGAGAACAGTGAGGAATCAGCCCAGAACTACACGGGAGGATCTTGTCAATGATATCAAGGCAGCTGGGACCATAGACACCAAGAAAACAATTGGTAACACACTACGCCGTGAAGGACTGAAATCCTGCAGCGCCCGCAAGGTCCCCCTGCTCAAGAAAGCACATATACATGCCCGTCTGAAATTTGCCAATGAACATCTGAATGATTCAGAGGACAACTGGGTGAAAGTGTTGTGGTCAGATGAGACCAAAATGGAGCTCTTTGGCATCAACTCAACTCGCCGTGTTTGGAGGAGGAATGTTGCCTATGACCCCAAGAACACCATTCCCACCATCAAACATGGAGGTGGAAACATTATGCTTTGGGGGTGTTTTTCTGCTAAGGGGACAGGACAACTTCACCGCCTCAAAGGGACGATGGACGGGGCCGTGTACCGTCAAATCTTGGGTGAGAACCTCCTTCCCTCAGCCAGGGCATTGAAAATGGGTCGTGGATGGGTATTCCAGCATGACAATAACCCAAAACATACGGCCGAGGCAACAAAGGAGTGGCTCAAGAAGAAGCACATTAAGGTCCTGGAGTGGCCTAGCCAGTCTCCAGACCTTAATCCCATAGAAAATCTGTGGAGGGAGCTGAAGGTTCGAGTTGCTAAACGTCAGCCTCGAAACCTTAATGACTTGGAGAAGATCTGCAAAGAGGAGTGGGACAAAATCCTTCCTGACATGTGTGCAAACCTGGTGGCCAACTACAAGAAACGTCTGACCTCAGTGATTGCCAACAAGTGTTTTGCCACCAAGTACTAAGTCATGTTTTGCAGAGGGGTCAAATACTTATTTCCCTCATTAAAATGCCAATCAATTTATAACATTTTTGACAAGCGTTTTTCTGGATTTTGTTATTGTTGTTCAGTCTCTCACTGTTCAAATAAACCAACCATTAAAATTATAGACTGATCATTTCTTTGTCAGTGGGCAAACGTACAAAATCAGCAGGGGATCAAATACTTTTTTCCCTCGCTGTAGCATCTCGCCACCTTGGTGCCACAAATAGCCGGGAAACTGGCTCATCGGGACCCTCTTTGTAACAAATCACAATTTAACTTAAAACATTAAGCAAATGAAAAAAAATCTTATGTCAGGAAAATGTTTATCACATGGTGTATACGCTTTCATCATATGTATGGCTATCGTTTTGAAACACTACTTTATGGAGATGGCTTTGAATCGGTTTCGGCATTCAGTTTGAATCATTGTGTTTCATGGCACTTTGTGCAACCGTGCCATGCAAAGAGTATGCAATTATTATACTATTTAAGTCTTATTGTCCTCAATATAAAGTGGTGGCATTATGCTTGCTGATATTTCGTAGGTACCTGTTTTTGACAGCGTGCTTCCTCCATCGATAATCTGAAACGAAACATCGGCGATGAGAAAATTCCGTTTTTTGTTGATTTCATACTCCAACACACGAGCGCAATACATCAAAGGAGTCTGAATTCGTTTTTCAAACATCGACATTGACCCCTTTGGCGTAAAGTCGTCAATAAATAAATAAATAACGCCATGTTTTCACCACAATATAGCGGTTACAGCGCATAATATATGGCGGTGCGTAAGTGGTACATAACTTAGGTCCAGATGTTAAAACAAACTTTGTTCGGAAAGAAAGCAAATGGCAAGGCCGTAGGAATGTACTTGTGATTAATAATGGCTAACACCTGGGCCACAGGAAGAGAAAATAACACAGAAAACCGAACTCTGGCATTCACCCAACTGAAATGTCAGCTAATGCGCTGCACAAGCATCATATGCAAGCATTGTGTGTACAGCGTGATAGTGCATTGGTGCAGTACCGTCTGTGCGTGTGTTTTTTTTGTCCAGCAAAAATAACTTATTGTCACTATTGTGTTCACTTCATATGCATATACGTGGAAAAAAAAGACTATGTTTCACCTCGGCGTGATCTTAAATCATAAGCTAGTTATAAGGTTAGTGGGTCGGGGTCTAGGCTTATCTCAGCTTAAATCAGTGACCAGTGCTAGAATGTCTAAGCACCGTTATTATCATCAGCAATTATTTATCTCATTGTGCCGTCTCCTCTCGGGCGTGTTCCTTCCTTCGGCTGCCGCTCCGTTGTTAATCCGAGCCACCGGCCGTTATCCCGTCTATCAACATATCCTGTCGAAGCACAATTACTTGTCGCGACTGTGGACAACAAGTCCTCTGGCCCACGTGCTCCTCTTCCCGTCTCTCAGCATAGAGACATTCTAAGCGTGCCCTTCCCCCCCACGCTCGCTCTCCGTGATTCACTTTTCAAACCCCACCCCTTTTTTTTTCTTTTCTAAATGTCGATGCCGCTGGCCACATTCATGGTCACCGTGTCACAGCAGGCGAAGTCTGCAGTGACATCGTTCGTTTGCACCGCCGATTGGCACGCTTGGCTATAGGTTACTGGCGCGAAATAAGTTCGACAGACGCGCTTACGCAGACGCATTCGTCACGAATATGCGTCGCTTTAAAAGCTCGGGGAGAGGGGGCTTCTTCGCTGTTTCTTACGACCGTGCAGTCATTCAACAACCCATGTGGAATGATGGTTCACTCGACGTGCGTTGCCTTAGCCGGGACCGTGAGATGCGATTGGGTCGGCGAGTGTCAGCGTGAAGGCGGGGAGGTGTCCTTTGTCGTTGTCCTCGTCGTCACCTTGGTCCTGCCACCAACGCGGGTTGACCCCGAGGTAATCGAGCTCTTGGAGAGTCCAAACTTGTTGCTGGTCGCAGCTAAGCAACAGAAACACACGAAGTGTGGTTTTTTTTTCAGTTTTTATTTTTAAACGTTGTGGCTTCGCTTTTTTTCCTCTCGTTCATGTGAAATTGCTAAAAATCATATTTTGCCTTACCTCTTAAAGTCTAATCACAAAACGCATCGTTGGCCAAGTGTTCGGATAGTGCCCTTGCCATCTGTTAATAATTGTGCATGCCTTGTCTAATCAAGAAATAATAGTAATAATTTACTGTCCTGCCAGTCCAACGCGGGATGAAGGACTCCCCACTGCGTGCCGGTTATTGGGGTTGTTTGACCATATTTGACCACGCTGTTTAGCGCGGGTTGGTGAAGCGCAGGGGGGAGGGGGGGGGGGGCTGTAGTGGTTCGGTTCCCACTGCACTAATTACTGTCTCACCAATTCACTCGTTGCGTATGGAGATAATAATTATACCTCATAGAGTGGCTTCCCAAAGACAATTGGCGTCAGTTGAGGCGATTGATGTAAATGGGTTACATTGAAACTACATTTGAGTGTATATAGCAGTATTAATTACAAACTTGATATATTCTTGGTCATTAATTTCAGGCACATACTGTATCTGCCACGGTGACTTAAGCAGCAAAACAAATATGATGCATTATTGACTTATTATACAAAACTGCATAGACCTGAATCATTAACTTGCAGGGGAGATCACGGAAACACCACCAACTGACCACCTTCATTATTTGTTTGGGGATTTAATCATTGAGTTACGACACTAGGACTCCGAGGGAGGGCTTCTTTTGTGAACGATCTCAGGGAGTCTCTCATGCACATTGCACAGCTGATCACATGCTTTCATAATTTCCTGGGTGGCAATGTGGTGGGAATTGACCCATCAACCTCGCGAAAACCAACTTCTTTCAGTAAAGTGCTTACTCGCCAATTGCCTGACCGCTTAAAATGTAACACATCGAACCCAACGGATTACTTATGCCCAAACGACAATAATTTCAACTCGTAACACGTACAGCATTAGGGATAGAGGACAACTCGAGGCGCAAGGAGCCACAGACAAGCTGAATTGCGGCCACACCATGAGCTGGCACTTGCAATCACCCAAGCTCTGCGCCCCACTATGTATGGAGATGTTATCAGCCGATTAATGAGTGTTTACACTCAGACGGCACCTGACTTGGGTTGTGATTGGTAGCTCAGCAGGGCTGCGTCTTAATCGTGCTTGCATGGGTGACCACCATGAGTTACGGTTGTCAGGCTGTGGGGCTATGTTGTGGGCAGGCAGCAGATGGCGGTATGCAGAAAAAAATAAACATTGCTGCACTGTCTACGCTCTGCACGTTCACCAACCGCGACTGTCCAGCACGGCGAAGTACTCGATTGCCATGCTATCTCCATTCACCTGCAAGGCATGCGGAAGCCCTCGTCCAGCAGTGCACTGATACTAACATGTGTACAAGTACAATAGAATGCTTACAGGTTGGTGTCATGACGCCACTGATGATGTGGATGGCACCGCTGGTCGCCATGAGATCGCTTTCAACCACCTTCTTGCCGTTCACCAGAACCGAGCCATCTTTCTGTAAATATAAGAAAAAAAAATATTAACCATTCACAAACAAATCAAACAGAATGGCTTCCATCCGTAATTCATGGCGTGCATAGTGATGTGCGTTCAGTTGTCGGGCTTTTTATTAGCTTGTTTAAACTTTCCCCAAAATGTATTCCGACTGTGCTATCGGCACCACATAATGGGTTGTATCCATTGGGTACCCTTACAAAGGTGAGTAATCGCGTATCTTAAAGAGCGGCCCGCATAAGTCGATTTCACATAATTTCTCATGAGATCCATTTAAGTGGCCTTTAAAAAAAAATCCATACACTAGGGATACACTTTCCCGCACACACTCTGCTATCGAGTACAAATGTACCGTACAGCATTTCACTTTGGTAGTCAAACTGATATAATTATTTATAAATATAGAATTTGCCAAATTAATTGATAAGCCAATTTTAACTTGATGGGCTATTATTGCAGTCATCTTTGGCAGGAGCTGAGATCATCACTTCGCTACATTTGAGAGTGTGGTTTCAACGTGGACAAATGACACCCAGATTGACCCAGGGCCTCAGTAGTTGCCAGCTTATCGTTCTGACTCACAAGCCAGCCAGCCACCTCAATGTCATCATCAGCTATTATCTAGCCACTGTAGGATGAAGGCTGCCCCAAGCCACCGCCATCTCTCACAGACGTGGAATGTCACAATCTGCCTGGCTCTTGTAAACAATACCATTCCGTCACTCCACTTCCACAGTCGATGTCCTCTCTCAGGCATGTTTCCTCTCATAGCTGCCACTCTAAAACTAAACTAAACTTTTTATTTCACCAGGTAAGGTGAGCTATGCAGCTCTTGTTCAAAAGCGACCTGGCTATCACAAATGATAGCTCAACGAAGTGGCTTGTCGCGGGGAAATTTAAATCAGCGAACTACTCTGAACGCGTGTTTCTAAATGCGCAGGGAAAAACCGGAGGACCCGGCCAAAAATCCATGCGACCACCGGGAGAACATGCAAACTTCAAATATACAACAGGCACCAGGGTCGGGATCGAACCCACAACCTCCTGCATACCAGCCGAGGTAGTTAACATCTTACCACTGGCCATCAACCCTTTCCGTGGCGTGTCCTAGCCAAGCCCTCTTGCTTTTCTTCACAGTCAATACGATATATTTCAGTTTAACACGTAGGCTCTCCAACACACCGGTGTGCCGTACTAATGACGAATTGGCATGTCCTGTTTACGTGATAACTCATTACCTGGTGGCTGTGTCGGGTGGTGGCTGGTATAACGACACATTTGTATATTTACGCGATCTAACCCTCCAAAAAAAACCCGCTTCTATTACTTACGGACGATATATTTCACTCGTGGACGCTCCCTAATTCACGCGCTCATCTTGCCGCCCGTCAGCGTAAGCCCCAAGCAGGCGGTGCACTCCGACTCTCCGCGCCTGTTGCTGCGTGCACCTCCAAAACGTGCTCCGTGTGGTCGCGCGCACTCACGCTGCTTTCGATCTCGAGCAGGCCGCCGTGCAGGGTCCTCAGCACGTTTTTGGCCCCGCCGACGATGCCTCCGCTCACGAGCACCTCGCTAGCCAGGTGGAAGTTAAGGAGGGCTTCCAGCTCCTTGGGGTTGCCTGTGGGGACGCGCACGCGGACGCCCGGGGTCTCAGAGTTTGCCTACCCGCGGCCGATGCCGAGGCTCGTTTAATAATCATGAGCAGCTGTCCAGATTCGAACTCAGGATGTCAGCGATGCTGGCTCAGTGCTCTCAGCTTTGAGCCATCATGAAACAACATCGTATAAACGAAGCAAATATCTATTAAAAAAAACATAAATAATGTCGCTGACCCGTGACAATTCGTCAAATTGTGCGGTCCGGGATATGCAGTAGTGAATCATCGCATGCTCCCCCTCCTACGACGAGCCCTTGGCAGCATTGCGAATGAAGCAAATCAAACTCCACGGAGCTATTCAGCGTGGTTGAAATTTGCTGGTAAGTGTTCATAATCATAATAATAAACTGTTCAATTACCTGCTTTAGCCGCATATGCAGTGGCAAATTTGGAAAACTCAAGACTGGGTCACTTGTGTCTGCTGACCCCAAGTTCTGACTCCAGCACAATTAATTCCCTGGGGACTCTGGATTGCATAACGCATTGCTCAGACTGGTGGAATGTGTACAGGATTGCATAAAACACTTTAAGGGTCACCCTTAAGTATAACGCACTTCGGGGAAATGTACTCTTTTACCTTAGGCAATGTATTTAAAGGTGCCAGTATAAAAACCTTAGATATTTCACTTAAGCGCGAGACTGAACTAAAATGTTTCACATTAAGGGAATTTGACTTCAGGGTGTCACAATGAACGCCTTACGAGTTTCACTAAAGGCCTTGATGCACTCGTGCAATTGTATAGCGTGTCGTTGGAAATTGTTACTGCCAATGAATTTTCTCTAGGAACATTAACATGAATTATAGATTTGAAGTTTTCGTGACTGCAAGGATTCATACTCTTTGGTTTTTTGAACATGAATGGCATAGAATTTGGCAACTATTGCCGGAGAAGGTTGCCCTAAAATTACCTTCGTGCACAATGACCTTCACGCAAGGTGAGTATTTTTTTCTTCAAATAAAAACCCAGATCTGAGAATTCATTCTAGATTTGAAGCTTTCGTGACTGCAAGGATTCATACTCTTTGGTTTTTCCGTAACGTAAGTAACGTAACCTACGTGACTTTACCGAAAAAAACCCAAAGAGAATTAATCTGAGACTTCGCCCAGATCTGTGAGAATCAAACCCGCTGGGGCTGCCACTCATCCAGGAGATGGGAGTGCAGAAAGTGTGGGCTGTGTGAAGCGATCTGTGGGGAACTTTTGAGTGCCATTGCCTTCACGTGCGTGCTGTGTTTCCTCCCGGTGCTCTGATTCCCTACCCACGCACCAAAAAAAACACTTTTAAAGAAAACTCAGGATTTCGTGGAATCGGGAAATTATTGTTTTTGTTTATTTCATTGTATTATTAAGTGCAAAGGGAAATTGAGGGATTTTATTCGTTGTTTTTTTTTTACTGTCCTTAAGTGTGTTTTTACGTGGTAAAGTGTTGCACAAAGCTACTTCTTCAAGGGTCCCCTGGCGCAGAGCGAGTACGGTTGGTTGCGGGAGATCGGTGTGGCAAGAGACTGCCACGTGCGGTGACGCCAGTGGCATGGCTAGTCAGTGTGCAGGCGGTCTAACCGCGCTGGGGCCCTAAGGGCGGGAGGGGAAAGGTGGTGGGGGTGGGGGGAACGAAGTGGCGGAGGGAGGATTCTGTTCTGAGCGCAACGGGCCCGATGCCAATGGTACACACTCGACACAGCCGAGTTAAGTGCCAGTCTGAATTGGCAATCAAAGCACTTTGGTGGGGGTCGTAAAACTCTGGCAGTTTCGCGAGCCCACGCCAGACAGAAGCAGAGGGTGTTTGTGAAATCGTGGGCACGGGGCGCTATTTGCTCACAAAAATAAAACTTTAGCGGGAACAAATGCATCTCAGCGTCTCTCCTCCATATATATGATTTCAGGGCAACATGAAACTCGCCCTGTTGGCATTACTTGCACTTTGACGGGGGGTCCAGGCACTTGCTGATAATCTCCACAGCAATTAAACCCCCCCCTCCCCAAAAATTGCTGTGGTCACAAAAAGTTATACACTTTAACCTTACTTAACGCAATGGAAATATAAATACCGTTACGCACAGCGGATTATTTTTGTACTATGTCTGGTTTGTGTTGCGTGTGTATTCGTACTGTAACTTTGTGAGTTCACTGCTGAATGATGGCCTCCCCACACGGTGTGGGTCACGGGGGGTTGTTTGACCATACTTCACCGTGCTGGTTAATGGGCATACACTCAATAAGTAATGCATGCATTGCTGAGTGCAAGACTTGATTTTCATTTCTAAAGTGATGTTTGCTCACAATACAATACGTAACAACACAAAATAAATGTTTTCAATGTGTGGTATCTAAATGTGACCTCATATCAAGACGCGTGATTAACAAAGACTGGATGGTTCTTTAACAACAACAATTGGGTTATATAAACTCAGCACTGATTCGTGTTTAGAGAAGTCTGCCACAGTGGTGTAATGGTTAGTGGCACACTGGACCTGCAATCCAGGGGTTGCCGGTTCAGTCCCCTGGCGTGACAGCTGAAAGCATGCTGCAAATGTCCTCAATCCTGCCTCTGTCTACCCAGCAGTATAAGTGGGTAGACCACAGTCGTTCGGCGGGATATGTGTGATGGGTTAAAGTGTTTGTACTTTCACTCACCTCTTCCAAGATGTGTTGGCCAGCGTGCAAGAGTCTACTAAAATACCCTCTAGACTTGGGTGGGGGGGGGGATCTAGAGCTGCCTCTAGTAGACACTCTTCTGCCAGCAAGGGCACGAGTGGAGAAATTGCAGGTCTCCACCTTTGCCTTTTACTGCACAAGTTGAAGTCTTTGTGGCGTCTTTCTATCATTACTGACACAAGAGCGTGGTGGCAAAGAGTAAGGTTCTTGAAGTCATTAAAGCTGAGCAAGGAAGAGAGAGAGGTTGTAAATCCTAACGACGTTGCTTCGTGATGAAAGAGGAGGTGCCCGTCCCATCGAACGTCCCACCCGAGGCAAACGCACCCTTTAGCCTGTTCAGCTCAGCCTTCGGCAGAGCAGCAAAGGCCTCGTTTGTTGGAGCGAAGAGAGTCAGGCGACCGGCACTTCGGAGTTTCTCCGTGAGCCCCGCGGTCCTTATCAGCTCGACCAGAGTGCTGCGGGGGTGAAAGCCACAAATAAAAGCGAAGGGAGCCGCGCACGCTCCACGTGAAAGCCATTTGTGTGCCTCTCGCCGGCTGGGAATACTTAGCGGAGGGTTAATGTGCAGCAGCTGCATTGTTTTGTGCAGCTCGGGGAGGTTGGAGATCAGCCGGCTCTCCCATTGGGGTTTTAATTGGAATATCAGTCAGGATTAATGATGGCGCTGGACTGTGGGCTGCAGGTTCACGTTTGTTTGTGGGGCTCAGCGTCGAGGGGTCGTGCCGCTGTAGGAAGAAGTTGAGGTTGGGCCCTTTTTGGTTTTATTGCAAACGTATGGACGGTCGTAATTATTGTTGCGCAGGGTTCGTGTAATTTCAATTACTTATTATAATAAGCAGAAGCTAAAAATATGTACCACCATTGTCAATAACAAACACCGCCTTATAATTCAATTATACAACAGGTTAATGTGTTAGGAAATAGCCCCTTTGCATAATTGGTTTAGCTTGAGTAATAATCATTTTCATTACATTTCACAACTAAATACCTAAGTGTATCAAGCTGCTGTACAAAGAAAGCATATATTAACAGAGACAGCACATTCGGATAAAATGCATATGGCATTCCCACCACCACCACCACCATTACGCTGCCACTACCGTTGTTTTTCTGAAGAGTGGAGCTCGAAGGCTTGGGAGGTGCTCTACTATACTCTTTGGTTCTTTCGGTTAAGTCACGTTAGTATAAAATAAAATTAATTTAATCACGACGTTTTGGGCGCAACACAAGCCTCTGTCATCAGGTGGGATAACCACAGCAATAAACAATTGCTGAAGTGGGCTGTGGTTGTCCCACCTGATGACAGACGCTTGTGTTGTGCCTGAAACGTCGTGAGTTTATTTATTTTATTTCCTACCTACGTGATTTTACCGAAAGAACCACCAAAGAGTATGGATCCCTGCTGTCACAAAAACATCAAATCTAGTAGCTGTACTAGTTGAAGTAAGGATTGTGGTAATTGAGTATGGCTTCATGGTGTGGAATTGCTCTATGATTCGTGTTAGACAAGGGGTGAAATGGCATGCTTTGGCGAGTGTTCATTTTTGTCTGATGAACGTGCCAATGTCCCAAACTTTGATATTAAGCTTTTGTGACTGCAGGAATTACTCTTTGGTTCTTTCGGTAAAGACACGTAGAAATAAAATAATATAATACGACGTTTCTATTGCAACACAAGCAACCGTCATCAGGTGTGAATGAATGCAAGCTCGGAGAGAGACACATGCTTCATTTCTGCCGGGTCTGTCCAAATCGGTGACCCGGAAAATAGTTGCACAACCAGAACGCCACATCCATCGTACTATTAAACTATAAACTATTTTATATTTCACCAGGTAAGGTCCACTGAGATATGTAGATCTTTTTCAGAAGCGACCTGGCCACAAACGATAGCTCAACGAAGTGGCTTATCATGTGGGAATTGACAGCAGCCAAATACTCTAAACGCGTGTTGATTATAAACACGGAGGGAAAATCTGGAGGACCCGGAGAAAAATCCACACGACCACGGGGAGAACACGCAAACTCTAATTCTACAGCAGGCGTCAGGGTCGGGATCGAACCGACCGTCTCCTGTACACCGGGCGAGGTAGTTAACATCTCGCCACCGCTTGCGGCTGTGGCTTCTACTCGGCACGTGGCGACCACACCAGTCCAACCAACGGCCCGGGATAATTTTGAGGGAAAGACGAAGTGCTGCCCGATCGCACGCTCACCTGAAGCGACGATCTGCCTGCAGAATCTCGAGAAACGAGCGTTCGGGGACGTGGATGAGTTTGTTGATCACGTGCAAGATTCCCAGTCGGCCCTCCTTGCCCATGGTGGAGACGCAAGAGTTTTCGATGCAGATTGCCTGCAACAAATTCCCGTTTGTGTGACGATGTTCAATGGCCATCAATCAACATTTGCTGCTTCATGTCATTCCTCACACAAGTGTCAAACATTTGCCCGGATGTGCCGACGGAATTAAGAAGCACGACTGAGCAGTGCGCTGCGCTGATTTTTGCGTTTTGCTCGTTGTCCTTCCCCCGTGCCTGCCATCAGCACGGCTGGCTACGTACGGTGCCAAAGAAGCTCAACATACGGAGGTAGACATTCATACGTAGGCAGTAGCATGCGTGAGCTTAGGATCGCAACAAGTGTCCAATACAACCAATAACTTTGCAACCACAGGGCCTAGCGTGCAACTCAAAATTCTGGATTTATTGTTTTTTAAGGTCACGCCTGCTGGTTTTATTCCATTGCCCGTTAAACCGAGGCACTGTGAGTTTAAAGACAATCGCTCAGCACTTTCTAGTCGCTCAACGGAGTTGAAGCATAGAGTCATAGTCGAGGCATAGAGTCATAGTCGGGGCATAGAGTCATAGTCGGGGCATAGAGTCATAGTCGGGGCATAGTCATAGTCGGGGCATAGAGTCATAGTCGGGGCATAGTCATAGTCGGGGCATAGAGTCATAGTCGGGGCATAGTCATAGTCGGGGCATAGAGTCATAGTCGGGGCATAGAGTCACAGTCGAGGCATAGAAGCACAGAAGACGTGGAGAGGATACCGAGCAACCTGTGAATATGAACAGCTTCGAATGAGATTGTCAGCCGTTGCACTTAAAGCAATGAATTGGGAGGAGGGTGATCCAAGAAAACTAAAACTTTCACTTTTCCATTCGCAAAGTTAGTGGGGGGTATAGTAAACTCACAATGCAGACCAACTCGTGTATTGTGACACTGTAGTATGCTTAACATATACTAAGTATTTGACAAAGTTGAACACGTAGGCTTTCAACAACGATATCATCCTTAATACAGTTTTTTTGGGGTTAGATCGTGTAAAAATATGAATGTGTCGTTAAACTCGTCACGTAAACAGAACGTTCCAATTCGTTACTAGTACAGCACACCGCATTCATTCATCCATCCCCACCCACCCACATCGCTCAAGAAGTGCTCACAAGTGATGACATCATATCTACCCTTCTATTTAAGTAACGCAACAAGAGGATTTCTCCACAAATCTGGTTGTCACCTGATGAAGCTAGTTGTAACTACTGACGAAACGTCGTGTTCAGATGGTAAATATTGTGGATTTACTCTCCAACACACCACCGGCGTGGTGTGCCAGTAACGAATTGGTACGTTCTGTTCACGTGACAAACATTACTAGTTGGTTGTGTCGGGTGGTGGCGAGTTTAACGACACATTTACATATTTACAGGATCTAACCCAAAAAAACCTCGACTCTATTTGACAAAGGTTTGAAAGAGGTGGATTTTCATCCTCGTTGTAAATTCCGATGGATTTTTTCCCCGACGAACTTTTATGAAACACAGGAAATACCCATTTGTGTTAATGTTCAGCATTGCTTCTGCATTCTGTCTTGTATTCCACAGGCTCTCAGTGGGCCATGGATGCAGAATACACCTACCAGGGTAATCATTAAAAATAAACACTGCAAAAGGAACATTTTACTTTGTCAAATGCTGTGATACAAGGTTTTTTTTTAAGTGCCAAAGCTGTACCATGTGCCAAGTGGCGATGTATATTCTAATATGGCTCAAGAGTAATGTTTCTGGGTGCGACATTTGATAGTTTGAACTGCAAAACACTGTAAGGAATTGAAGGAATGTGGTGGGAAAAATTGCATTCAGCACAGTTACAATTGGGATTGATGCACAGCAGCATATTAATTATTTTTAATTTCTAAAGGGAAACAAAACATATCCATATTAATATATTTTTTAATTATACATTTTTGTGTCACCTTTTCATTACTTACACTACTGTTGGTTTATGGAAATTAGTTTGTCCAATACTTCTATAATAGTACAATGAGGGAAAAAGGTATTTGATCCCCTGCTGATTTTGTACGTTTGCCCACTGACAAAGAAATGATCAGTCTATCATTTTAATGGTAGGTTTATATGAACAGTGAGAGACAGAATAACAACAAAAAAATCCAGAAAAACCCATGTCAAAAATGTTATAAATTGATTTGCATTTTAATGAGGGAAATAAGTATTTGACCCCTCTGCAAAACATGACTTAGTACCTGGTGGCAAAACACTTGTTGGCAATCACAGAGGTCAGACGTTTCTTACAGTTGGCCACCAGGTTTGCACACATGTCAGGAGGGATTTTGTCCCACTCCTCTTTGCAGATCTTCTCCAAGTCATTAAGGTTTCGAGGCTGACGTTTGGCAACTCGAACCTTCAGCTCCTTCCACAGATTTTATATGGGATTAAGGTCTGGAGACTGGCTAGGCCACTCCAGGACCTTAATGTGTTTCTTCTTGAGCCACTCCTTTGTTGCCTGGGCCGTGTGTTTTGGGTCATTGTCATGCTGGAATACCCATCCACGACCCATTTTCAATGCCCTGGCTGAGGGAAGGAGGTTCTCACCCAAGATTTGATGGTACATGGCCCCGTCCATCGTCCCTTTGATGCGCTGAAGTTGTTCTGTCCCCTTAGCAGAAAAACACCCCCAAAGCATAATGTTTCCACCTCCATGTTTGACGGTGGGGATGGTGTTCTTGGGGTCATAGGCAGCATTCCTCCTCCTCCAAACACGGCGAGTTGAGTTGATGCCAAAGAGCTCCATTTTGGTCTCATCTGACCACAACACTTTCACCCAGTTGTCCTCTGAATCATTCAGATGCTCATTGGCAAATTTCAGACGTGCATGTATATGTGCTTTCTTGAGCAGGGGGACCTTGCGGACGCTGCAGGATTTCAGTCCTTCACAGCGTAGTGTGTTACCAATTGTTTTCTTGGTGACTATGGTCCCAGCTGCCTTGAGATCATTGACAAGATCCTCCCGTGTAGTTCTGGGCTGATTCCTCGCCGTTCTCATGATCATTGCAACTCCATGAGGTGAGATCTTGCATGGAGCCCCAGGCTGAGGGAGATTGACAGTTCTTTAGTGTTTCTTCCATTTGCGAATAATCGCACCAACTGTTGTCACCTTCTCACCAAGCTGCTTGGCAATGGTCTTGTAGCCCATTCCAGCCTTGTGTAGGTCTACAATCTTGTCCCTGACATCCTTGGAGAGCTCTTTGGTCTTGGCCATGGTGGAGAGTTTGGAATCTGATTGATTGCTTCTGTGGACAGGTGTCTTTTATACAGGTAACACGCTGAGATTCGGAGCACTCCCTTTAAGAGTCTGCTCCTAATCTCAGCTCGTTAACTGTATAAAAGACACCTTGGAGCCAGAAATCTATCTGATTGAGAGGGGGTCAAATACTTATTTCCCTCATTAAAATGCAAATCAATTTATAACATTTATGACATGCGTTTTTCTGGATTTTCTTGTTGTTATTCTGTCTCTCACTGTTCAAATAAACCTACCATTAAAATTATGGACTGATCATTTCTTTGTCAGTGGGCAAACGTACAAAATCAGCAGGGGATCAAATACTTTTTCCCTCACTGTAAATATATTAGCAATGTAGTAGAAATGTAGTGGAGTAGATAATGCGCATAGGAATTGTCCATATACAGTACATACAGGACAGACAAGGAGAACGGGTCACACGAGGTCGAACAGGTGGTCGAGTCGCGAGTGGCGTAAACAAACCCAAGTAATTAAGGGAGTCGTGGCACGAGGGCTGTGATTGGTCGAGAGGCTGTTAGCATTAATTGGTGGCGTCTGGATGTCTGAGGAAGGGGACAGGTGCGGGCTGGCGGGAAACGGCCAGCGGGCCACGTGGCAATTAATTAAGGCTAATGCGAGAGGGGATACAACGCGAGGTGGTTTGAACGGAGAGGGGTTGCTGTTGGAGAGTTGCTGCTGGGGAGTTGTTGCTGGAGAGTTGTTGCTGGGCAGTTGTTGGCGAGAGGTGAAGAGATACGAAGAAGACAGCTGGAAATGTTAGGGAAGAATAGATAGAGAGCCGGACCCCAAAGACAGTAAATAGCGATAGGGAGAGTCAGCGTTAGCGGAGATATATAGAGTCACTGTGTGTGGATAGATGGAAGTCACTGCGTGTGAAGAGATTGCGGCGATACTGTGTGTGAGGAGATAGAAGACGAACCACTGTGTGTGGAAGGGAAGACACTGTGTGTGAAGAGCTAGGCTAAGAAACACTGTGTGTGGAAGGGGAAGCACGGGCGATGCTGAAGTAAATCGGAGTGTACGAGTTAGCGGAGCACGGAGAGAATTACTGTGTGTACGGAACGATGGAATAAAAGTGACGGCGGAAAAAGAGACGGTTGTCGTCCGAGTGAATTCACGGCACTACAGAAATATAAGCATTGGACACACACTCACAGTTCCTCTTTCTCAAATGCAGTTACTGGACATCGGCGAAAAAGAGCTTCATAGCTCATCGAATTCCTCCAGTATAAATAAATATTCTGATTCTGAAATTTGTTTTGGAGAGCGAGTGGCCTGACCTGGAGAGCAGGCAAAGGTTTTTAAAGGAGTGATTGACGAGTTATGATTGGTTGCTAGGGACATCTGTTGATGGAGAACTGAATTACAGTGTTTTAATAATAATACTACTGCTATTGTCTTATTGAAAGGTAGCTGTTTTCATGATCGCCATACCCACGATTGATGCGCTGTAAGGTGTTCTAATGCTTGTACAGAATTCCACTTTAAACTCAAGAACAAAAAGCGGAACAAGGATTAGCCCCTGTGCAGACGGTCACTTTCCTGCGTGGACAGCTACATTGGTGGTTCTATGGAGAATAAAGCGCCTACCGAAGCTAGTCTCATCTTCACGATGTTTACGTAGATTATCGCAATTGTAAACAATTGCGATGCGACGCTGTTGGAACAAAAAACAAAAATGTCGTGTATATTATTGATGGGCAAGCGCTTAAAAGTCAATTTCGTCCGGAGTCGAATGTTCACGCGCCTCTTGTGGGTCAGCATGCTGTTCAGGGATTCAATCCCCACTCACACACCCCTTACAGTAGGGGGGAGGGCAGGAAAATATTTTCTGTAACTCAGCCCCGAACAACTCCAGCAGAAATGAAGCTGGGAGGGGGGGGGTGTGCAGTGTGATCCCCGAACCTTTCTGTAGATGAAGATGCGGATCTTCTTCCCCCCCAGGGTCTCGAGCTCCTGGCCGTTGTAGAGCTGGTACAGCGAGACCTGCCCCTTGATCACGTGGTTCTTGAGCAGCTCCGCGATGTCGTCGGACAGCTCGAAGATCGTGGTGTCTTGACGCGGTCAATAAAAATAAAAACAAAGAACAAACCCGTCAGTTCACCCTCTCGGCAGGAACGGCGACCGTTGGAAAGGCGACGCTCGATCTCAACGTGAAATAAAGAGCCAAACCACAATGGCTGTGACATCAAATCTTGTCAACGAGATGCAGCGTGTGTGTGTGTGTCATTACCTCCGCAAAAATGAATTGTGTACATTTATATTTTATCATCAGTTGTGATGTTTACGAATTGCAATAGAGCAACATTAGATTTTATCTCAACATCAACAACAACGACGATGAGGACCATGCCGAGTGCTTACGATCAGTACTTTTATCCATGCTTCTCTGCATTGTCTGGTGAGTAGAGTGCTTAGGATAACCCGGCATGTGAATAACATTCTTAGCCATGGCCGAACATCCGTGGTGAGTGACATGGGAAGCAGTTCTGGGCCACCTCACCTCCACCAGCCCACGCTTATCATATACATTTCCACATGGTAAGCCACTTCGGTGAGCTATTATTTGTGGCCAGGTTGCTTCCGAAAAATAAGTTAATACCTCAGTGGGTTTTGCCTGGTAGGATGGGGATAGTTTCGTTTTACATTTGTATATTTTTGGGTGATTTGTTTGCTTTTCCTGTACTTTGCACTACTATTGTATTGTTTGTTGTTGTAACGTTCTTATCCCGTGCCCCTACTGGTCATCTGTGAAAAAGAGCTTTATAGCTCATTGGATTCTTCCAGTAGAAATAAATATTCAGATTCCGGTCATACAACCCCAATGACTCACACAGTATGGGAGGTCCTTCATCCAGCGTTGCATTTACAAAAGGGCTTCACATTATAATATGTATATTTATTTATTTGGATTTACAACAGTACACGTTTCATTATGGCCCCTCCAGATGGTGTTTATTATCTCTGCATCACTGTTATTCAGCATCGTGCAGTGGGCAGCAGCAAATTAAAAACGAGCAGCCAAAACGTAGCCCATGGAAACATCGAATAAATATACACGGGGGCCAATGTGTCTCCTCGATCTATGTATAATGTGAACAACACAGCTTTACAGGGTCATTGCATTGTCCAAGGTCAATCAGGTTAGTCTGAAGTCTTTTTGTTTCACATTTTCACCAAGATTCTGTAGACTACAGCATTGCAGATGGCTCTGCTTGAATTTCAGAGCAACCGTTCTTGTTGTTATAGTTATTTGTATTTTACATTATTACAACCAATTATGTATTGCTTGATCTATTTTGTCCATATGCAAATGTTTAGTAATCGGTGATTATATCGCTCACTCAACTGGTTGTCAGATCAAGTTCTTAACCGTGAGCCGCTCAGTATTAATGGCGTATTTATCGAGTGTGTAAGCGGTGCAACTGCAACCAAGTCTCTTAGGGTATAGGGGCCTGGGTTCTGGGCTACAGAAGGGATGAAATCAATATGGGGCCCAATTCGATTCCTTGCACCAGGGCAATGTCAATCACGCTATGTCTATGATCACGAAATGTCCCTTTTAAATCGAGATCCAAAACTTATTTCTTTAGAACTGAATATTGTGTTTAGTTTGTTGTCCTTCCCCCCGCACCTCTGATCATCACGGTTGGCTACGTAAGGTGCGAAAGAAGTTCAACATACGATATAAATAATAATAGGTAAAGGCACAGCCTTTATAACAAATTCCTCATGCCACTGCTGTCCAAAGTGCCTCCATTACATGGATCTTTAGAGATCCCCTTTCGAGACTTGTATGGCCTACTTGACAATGCTGGCCAGACGTCTTGGAAGAGGTTGGAATACCCACACTTTACCCTGCCGAATGACTAACCGTGGTAAAACTGTGGTGTAACTGTGGTGTACTCATACTGCTGGGTGGACAGAGGTGGAGGGGGGGGAAGAATGAATAAACTTGTTGCACATGCCGTGCCAGGAGACGGAATCAAACTGGTGACATCTGTGTTGCAAGTTCACCTGTTCTAATCATTACAACACAGCAGCATCCCTTAAAGCGGTGATGTTGGTGATGAAAACAAAGTGTTGCACAGATAAAAAAAAACTCAACACATTGGTCGCAAATACTGCGTGCGTCCTTAAAAGGAAACACATCATTGGCGACGTTTCAGGCAATGGCCCTTCCGCAAGGCACATAAAATAATAATGAGCACGTACGAGCCAATTTCCCGAAAAGGTCATCGATTATAGACGTTTCATCTTAGGGCAGTGCCGTCGATGAATGTGTTTTGAGATTTTCCTTTTGTTTTGCCTGTGCTGCTTGCCAATGCCTGCGCAGGCAGGAGAAAGAGGAGGAAGGGGGGCCAAACGCGGGCACGCGTACCGGAGAAGGCCTCGTTCTTCGGAGCGAGGAGTGTGTACGCCTCCCCCGGCTTCAGGGAGCCCTTGAGGCCAGCCTCGGCGAACATGTCGATGAAGCTCGTGACGCCGGCCGAATCGGCCAGCTCAAACACGGACTTGGCTGTGGGGATGGCGGCGGTAGAAGGGGGGGGGTGGCAAGGTGTGCCAAACCCACGCACATGTGCAGTGAGCAATATATATGTGTGAACAAAACTAAAAAAATAATTACAATTAATCTCGCGGTCGTAAAAAAAAACATATATATATTTTGTTGCCTCTGAGCACGAGGGCAAAGTGCGAAAGTAATCGGACTACCGTAAGCAAAACATGCCGCGTGCATTTATTTTCCTACGGAGCACTTTTAGTGCGGCGTTGCAACGCGATATTAAGTAAGATGGATTTCGTCGCGAAACAGTGCTGCAGTCGGTGATTTCACTTTGGCCGCCTTTGTTAAGCGTTTGAATGAACTTATTTTACCTAACAACTGTTAACAATTGTATTAACATGCACATTGTCAGAGGCTTGATTGATTATTATTGATGGGGTTTTTTTCAGTGGGCTAACTTACTGAAATGTAAGTGAGCTTGGTCCAAACACATGCATGTACTGTATATATGTTGGACTTATTTTGCACCGTACCTAGCCAACCGTGCTAATAGGAGGTGCGGGGGAAGGACAACCAACTACAGACAAAAAGCAGTTCTAAAGAAATGAGTTTTAAATCGAGATTTAAAAGTGCATAGCTCCAGTGGCTTCCGAATTTCAAAAAAAATTGCTTCAAATTACGAAAAGGGGATGATGATGACCGATGGATAAGACCGGTGTTGTTGTTGGTAGCCAAAGGACGGAACGTCCGTATAAGCCACGGACTTGTATAAAAGCCGGACCTCTGAACGGTCCAGGCAGTCGTCATCCACCCGAAGATCAAGAGCCCCTTGAAGAGAAGAACCCACGGGCAGATTCGAACCCCTGGCAAGGTTCGGCTCCAGCTTATAGATCAGTGAAGACCAAGCTTCGCTCAAGAAGGGTTAGAGTAGCCAGTGAGAGGCGTATCGGGTGTAAGGGGCCGTTGCCCCTTTGTGTTCGGGATTATTTGTTAATAAAAAAATCCGTGTTGCCTCAGAGCGACTCTGCTCGAGTTATTGACCCATTACACATGTATATTTCACTTATTTATCACCATATGTAGCCAGCCACCGCCCGGGGGGAGAGGGGGGTAAGAACAACAAAACTTAACGCCCCCCCCCCAAAAAAAAAACTTCTGAAGCAACGAGTCACCCGATTTGACGGACGAGCGCTCGAAACGGGAGGGGTGGGGGGGGCGTGGGGGGGGGGGAGGGGAGGATTTAATTTCCCCGAACCTGAGTTGGGCACGAGAACATCGTCAATGAGGTGCACCACGCCGTTGCGCGCGAGCACGTCCTTCTTCGTGACGATGGCCTTGCCGTTGAGCGTCAGCTTGTCGCCGTCGCAGCCGACCGTCAGCGGCGTCCCCTCCAGAGTCTCGAGGTTCGAGTTGCTCAGCACGGCCTCGGAGCACTGCAGGCTGTCCACCATGTGGTTGTTGAGCAGGGCTGCGCGCGTGGATGTGGGGTGTCGGGGGTGGGGGGGGCGGTCGGACGCGTGAACGCGTTATTCGAGAGGCGCGATTCAGCGGAGCGCTGCACTGATCGTTGCGTTTGGCTCGCTGTCCATCGATTTGCACGGTTTGGCTGTGCGCGGTGCCCAGAGAAGCTCACATTGCTCGAGGATTTAGGAGACACTGTGTGTTCGAAGAACAGCGCACACGGCAGGCACGGCTGTTCACGAACGAAGAATGAACGAGTCGGCCCTTTTGCGAATGCGGCGAAGTGCGATCTGCTCATCGCACAGCCGCCAATCCTTGAACTTTTTTCGCACCGTACATAGCCAACCGTGCTAATTGGAGGTGTGGGGAGGGGGGGGGGGGACAAACTAAACACAAAATATTTTGTTCTAAAGAAATCAGTTTTAGATCTCGATTTAAAAGTGCATCACTCAAGTGGCTTCCCGACAATGCACACTTACACACAGGAGGTTACCGTTCGGATTGTATTTAACTCCTCATGCCACGTTGATTGGATTATTCGTCGCAACTTAATGTCAAGCGCTCTTCAAATGTCATCCAGAAGTGAGACTTAATAATTAACGATAATAATTCTTTGCACATTTGGTATTCGCGTCCTTGTCATCGCGAACGGCCATCACGAATGCGTTGTTGTCACAGGCGGGTTTCGTCTACAGCTAGGGGGGGCATTGTTGCTGTGTGGTTGTTAGCCGGTTAAGTGATCTGCTGGTCATTTTTAAAATCTGGCAAATTTGGACAGTGACTGCTCTCTCTGATTTTCGAATAATGTCACGGGAACTTTTGACGTCCGCCGCGACACAGACGGCGCGCGTTTATCGTTGCCATCCTGAACAGGTGATCGCTAACAACGCTTGTACCGACGATATCTGAGACTAAATGGCGGTACTTGGCATTTTAACAATGGCATCCATCACCTTCGGAGTGGAGCAATGGGACCCTGGCCATGAGTTCGATTCCCAGCCACGGCTAACATTGTTGGCCAGCGATATCTGAACCTGTCCTGGTCACCTTAGTTGGAGTTTGACTTCTTTATTGGGGGGGGGGGGGGGGGGCTTGACCTCCTGTGCCCCCCCCCCGCAAACTCCGCCCATGCTGGCCACCCTCTTCACCAGCCTGCACTGACCAGCGTGGTGAAGTATGGTCAAAAAACCATCACGGCCAAAACGGTGTGGAGAGGTTTTCACCCAGAAGTGCATTGACAAGGGCCTGCAAACTAAACCCTTTAAAGTAATATTAATTAGGAAAGCGTAGATGGCGGCGACTTTTTTTTTATTTAAACAAGATTCCTCTACCTTTCAGTGCAATGGGATCGGACAAGATCCTCTGCAGGACTTCAGTGGGGAGCTTCTCGAAGGCCTCGTTGGTCGGAGCGAAGAAAGTGACGGCACCGTCCTTCTCCAGGTCGTCCAGGAGGCCAGCCTCTGCCACTGCAGCCTGGAGAACGCACAGCGGGTGTGTGGGAGTGTGTGTGTGTGTGCGGGTGTGTGTGTGTGTGTGCGGGGGAGTGTGTGTGTGTGTGCGGGAGTGTGTGTGCGGGGGAGTGTGTGTGTGTGCGGGTGTGTGTGTGTGTGTGTGCGGGGGAGTGTGTATGTGCGGGGGAGTGTGTGTGCGGGGGAGTGTGTGTGTGTGCGGGGGAGCGTATGTGTGTGTGTTGTGCGGGGGAGTGTGGGAGAGACGGCCACTCGAGAACCGAACGCGCCGTTGATAAACTTGCAACGCGGTGCCACGTCGCGCATCCGATATGCTGGGGACTAAGGTATATCGGCGGATACACGGAGAGGTCGGATATGCAAGATCTGTCGTGAATAGAAATTACACCGTGCACAAAAAACACACACAACTGGGTGCGAGTGGAGCAGTCAGTTGGTCAGGGTGGATATTTGACGGGTCGGATATGCGCCGTATGTATGTTGAACTTCTTTTACAACGTACGAGCCAACCGTGCCAACTGGAGGTTCGAAATTGAATTGGTGAAGGTGTTACTGCGCCTGTGTAGATCTAAACGTAGTGCCGGTGGTCTCGTGGTTACATCGCTGTGCTCGGCAAAGGTTTGTCACTTCGACATTTTTGGTGGTCGAGAATAATGACGGAGTGGCAGCCAAAGGAGGGAACTCGCCCACGAGAACGACAAACATCGGGCATGGAGCGATGAAAGCGTCGCGAAACTTTGAGAGATGGCGACGGCTTGTCGAGCCCTTCGTTCAGCAGTGGACAGATCACGGCTTATTATTATTCTTTTTTTTGCTAAAGTGTTTTTGGGACCGTTTTAAAATCTATACGTGCATTTTTTTCTGTGTATTGCTATTAATTTAGGGTTTAAAGAATAATTACGAAACGTGCTGTTAACATCTACATGCACTGATGCAGTCCCATAGTGGCAATGGTGATGTGCACCCTTCCTGACTTTAATGTACAAGCGGCCATGGCGTGAAACATATTTTTGTAAATATTTTACTATATTGACTATTCTTCTTTGTGCTTCACCATCCCACACTGGCCAGGCATGGTAAGGTATGGTCAAGCAACCCCTCGTGACCAAAAGACCTGGGGAGGCCTTGTTACGGCAGTGCATTGATATGCAGCTTATTATGTATTATTATATTATTACGTTGCATTACGTATTTGAGATTACCGCAGAGGAGGTGGTAAGTGCTCGTACGTGCGTGCGCGCGTCTTAGTGGGTGCTTGTGCGCGTGCGTTCGCGTGTCACTTGAGCAATGTTGGCACAACAACAGACGGGGCTTTAGAAGTAAAATAACTTCCAAGCCGATGGTGACCTTCAGATAACCCGATTAGTTACCGGAAAGCAAGATGTTCTTAAGGCATGCCGTTTTTTGACATTTAAATATTTTTTTCTGATGCAACAGCTCTCATTAGTACGCGTTCAGATAAACTGTTTACTCATGATTAAAACATGGTTCAGGAGTTAATTTTTTTTTCAATGTACAGTCATTAATAAATCCGTTGCTGAATCAACGCATCAGCAGGTCATGTTAGTCGCGGGCATGGGTCAGTGTGGGTTCATAAAGGGAGGCCCAAAACTGCTTCAGATGTCACTCAGATTTGAGTTCAGGTCATCGGGTTCATAGCGCAGCGCCCTCGCCAGCTTGCCACTGCTCCGCCCTGATGAGACTATTTACTTATCAGATTTAAAAAAAGCGGAGAAGCGTAGACAAAGACTGTTGATAAAATGATTTTGAACGGTTGAAGTTGACCCAAGATTCGTTTGAAAGACATTCCAAACAATAACCACTGGATCTAGCCACGGCTGGGAATTGAACTCAGGTAGTTCGTTTCAGAGCACAGTGTGTGCTTACCAATGGACGACTTCTCGACCCCTGGTATGGGTAGATTGTAATAGATTTGCATCACCATGGCTTACAATACACGTGAGTGGGGAAGTTCTTAGTATCGTATCATTGGGAGAGGTATACACGGTTTAGTGTGGGATCTATGAGAGGCTACATCTGTACACAACTTTAAATGCTTTCTAATCGCTGGCCCATGTCAGTTTGCCCTGTGAGGCAGACCTTGGGTGCCACACGCAGGGGATTGGCAGCAGAACGCAGCATATTTTTTTTTGTCGTGGAACTTTGCTTCTTGTAAACTCGCTGCCACATGAAGCACAGGCTTGAGGCCACGTAAGTTTTATCACTGGCATAAAAACGATAAACAATTGCTTTGTTGCTTCAGGAAAGCCCAACTGCGTCTGAAGGGTAGTTTTCAGGTGAGTTCTACTTTAGGGTGCCGGAAAAATTTCTGTGTTTTTTAATTTTTCCTTTTATACCCCTGAATGAGGTGAAACGATCAGACTCTGCAATTGTATATAGTCTCGGCTGTTATACAGCGCCTGGCTGTATCGAGAAGTATAGCTGCCACACCTTTTCCATAAACATGCAACCCATAATGCAACGCATTTAATATTCAGTTTCCACATCTTCAAACATTGCTTAATTTTTGTCTTCTGCGGACCGTGTCCATTGCTGCACCATTCATGGGCACGCTGAGCTATTGCAAGATTTTCAAATAAGTATTTTCTTCAATTTTGCTGCAAGATGAATCTATTTTGAACCCTGACAGAGTAGTGGAGCACGCTGTGGTATAGAACAGGACCCAGAAGGAGCTAATGACATTATTTTCATCCACACTATGGGCACCCCTTCCCGCATGCTCTATTGCGAAGGAATGTTCGTAATACAGCTGTCAAGCTGATGCGTATAAGCTCTCAAAGCGAGAATGTTTCCAAATTTAATAAAAACCCATATTTATTGCATTGTGGACCAGGGTCCCAGGGTCTCAGCGGTGGCGGTACCAGTGCACGTGATCCCCCGAGTCACCCGTGACATGTATTCGAGTGTTTCATTCTAGAACTCCAAACGCTTCAACCCCGTGACCACCAGCCGGATCCTGGTGTCCCTTACCCGCAGCGTGGCCAGGTTATCGTCCGACTCGAGGATCTGGCGCAGGTTTGTGGAGGGCGGCGCGATGACCCTGTCGATCACGTGCACCACGCCGTTTGTGGCCAGGTTGTTGGGCTTGAGCAGGCGGGCACAGTTCACCGTGATGATCTGCAGCGCGGGTCAAGTCAAGTGAATTCTTATTTTTTTTTTGGTTTGCATACCGTGCCACCTCTCTGGCACGGACGCGCCACTGGAAAGGCGCCGTCGTCGCATTACAACACTCAAACGCAACATCGACATTAGAAAGCTTCTAAACAATGATAACGAAAATATATATTTACGAACTACCTACAGTTGTTTAAAATATAAAAAGTAAAAGCAAGTTGCGGTTGTGAGACAGCGCGGGCGTTCTCGTTGGATTTAAGGCAACGGGGTCTGGTGGTGTCTTGAATCAGCGTGCGTTAAATAACAACTCCCAATTGTTAAATATAATATTGGTCGTGAAAGCCTACGTACTGTGTACAATTCACTTTTCAACACACGTTTGTCTTGGGATGTGTATGATTAATTCGCGGGCTAAGAAGCCGTGATGAGGGCACGCAAAAAAAACCCTTTTGCACGATTCTGCAAATCGTCCCTTATTCCAAATCTGGCCTTGTACCTCAAGCGTTTGTGAAAACCACTCGGAGCAATGTGGCCCGTGTCCAGAAGGTTAACATCCGTGATCACGACGCAGCCTTAGAACCGTACAACAGTTTGGTTCAGGAACGGATGGTCGCATTGTCGGCCAGAGAGAGTCAAGTGCTTCACAGCTGTACGAGATAATGTCGCGGACGAAACATGTGACCCCCTTGCCGCGAAGCCAGAGGTAATGGTGAAGGTATCGGGCTGGCTACCATCAACCGCTTCTTGTATTGACTCTATCGGCTGGAGAGAGCAGATGTGGCGGATAATATGAACGCGGCCAAGAGGAGATTCATAAATAAAGTACTACATTTTGATTTAAAGCTTTCGTGACTGCAGGGATTCATATTCTTGGTTCTTTCGGTAAAGTCACGTAGAAGGGAAACAATAATATAATAAAAATATAAAACAATATGATTCTCACGACGTTTCGACTGCAACACAAGCAGTCATCATCAGGTGTGAAAACCACAGCAAGACAATTTGAAAAAAGTGGCGGTTTTTTATCGTTAGCACCATGGAGAACGATTTGGCAGTTATTCAGATGGACGAGTCCATCTATGTTCGGAAAAGAGGGGGGGAGACGAAAATAATGGATGCGGTCTGAAAGCCACCATAAGCGTGAACAATCAATTAAGACCCGAAATGGTTTATCAAATCCTTCCAATGATTGCTAAGCCAGAATCCATCTTCTCGATTGAAATTGTCTCTGTGTTTGTATATGTGGATAGCCTCATGAACGAATCTTTCATGGTAGCCAGATGGCTTGCAAAGAACCTCTGTCTTGGAGAAGTCAATGTCATGTGAGCCTACTGAATTATAATAGTGATCTGCCACGGCCGAGGTGTTGGTCCTACCGTGTTTTAGGTCTGCTTTGTGTTCATGAATGCGGTCCGAGATATGTCGTTTGGTTTCTCCAATGTAATTACTACCACAGAGGCAACTTAGTTTGTAGACGCCAGGGTACTGTATGTCCGTAATCACATCTTTTACAGACGGAACCAGATCACGGATTTTATGTAATGTGTTGAATCGGACCTGGATCTTGTGTTTAATCAAGATTTTGGAGATCTTTTTTGTGATCCCCGCAATATAGGGTAAAGTGATGGTTTTGAAAGGCTCCTCAAGAGGGTCCTTCTTCATGGTTGGAGTGATAGCTTTGCGGATTGTGTAGGTGGAGTAACCATTAGCCTTAAGAGCTTGGTGTACGTGCTTGAGTTCACTGGCTATGTGTTCCTGGTCGGATATGCATTGGGCTCTATGGTGCAGAGTCTTTATGAGGGAATTATTCTGGGATGGATGGTGGTGGGAATCCGGTTTCAGGTAAGCATCCATATGGGTAGCTTTCCTGTAAACAGAGTGGCTCATTGAACCATCAGGTCTCTTTTTTATTAGGACATCCAAAAAAGGTAGCTTGCCATCTTTTTCGACTTCCATGGTAAATCTGATGGCTGGGTGTATGGAATTGATGTGGTCGAGGAATTGGTCTAGAGCAGACTGGCCATGTGGCCAGATGATAAAAGTGTCATCCACGTACCTCTTCCATAAGGTTGGGCGCAGAGTGGCAGTCTGGATGGCGTCAGTCTCAAATTTCTCCATGAAAATGTTGGCTACAACCGGAGATAGGGGGGAGCCCATTGGGGTGCCCTCAGTTTGTTTGTAGAAAGTTCCATTCCAAGTGAAGTATATATTGGTTAAGCAGTGTCTCACCAGGGGGGGTACCTCAGTGTTTAGTCCTTGATGAACCAAGTCTTCAATGATTGCGATGGTGTCAGGTACAGGAACTTTGGTGAGTAAGGAAACTACATCAAAACAGGTCGTCTGGGGACAGGGAAATACCCGTGATTGTCGATACCAGGTGAGTAGAATTTTGTACCGCAGAGGTGGTTTTTCCAGTGAAAGGCCGCAGGATTTCAGACAGAAAACGAGCCAGTTTGTAGGTGGGGGAATTGATAGTAGAGACGATGGGACAAAGGGGTGTATCTACTTTATGTATTTTTGGTAAATCGTATAATCTTGGTGGCCTGGCAGCAGAAGGTTTCAACGAGAACTGTTTGGTTTGATCAATTAACGCGGTTGAATCAGAAATGATTTTGTTAGTTTGTATGACGAGGCTGTTGGTGGGATCTCTTTTTATTTTTGTATAGCTGTCATCGTTGAGTAATTCTTGAATTTTGTTGTTATATTCAATTTTATCCATGATGACAGTGGCATTGCCCTTGTCGGCTGAGAGGATGACAATGTCATCCCTCTTTTTTAATTTATATAATTCAAAACGCTCATCTTTGCTGAGGTTGTTAGCTGGCATCTTAGCGTTTTTGAGGGTTGCAGCGATTTCAGATCTTGCTATGTCTGCAGTGATGTGACCCAGGCCCTTGAGAGCCACGTCTACTTGGGCAATGATATCATTAACTGGTACGTGTTTAGGTGTGACTGCAAAGTTTAGCTCTTTAGCTAAAACGGATTTCAGACCATCGGAAATAGAACTGTTACTGCGATTAATTACGACTTTGTTAACGTCTATCTTTTTGGTGTGTGGGTCCGGTCTTTTGTTGGAGAGGAGGTTAAATTTGTAAATCAGGTTGTCCTTACATTTGGTCGACATAGTGGTAGCTAAAGAGGCAGTAATATTGTCTACATGTTCCCAATCCGATGTAGACATTGCTGCCGTCAATGATAAGTGTGATTTGTAGAGTGTCTTGTCTAACTGATTTAGTTCGGTGCGTATAAGTCTGATTTTCTCTGAGATAAGAGCTAAGCTAGTTCTGGAAAGAATTCGTTTCACATGAGAAGAAGTTACATCAGCAGAGGTCATTGTAAATGCGATTGGTATTACCCCAGAGTTGCGGCATCTCTTCATAAAGGTGAGAGACTCGATCAGTTGAGCCTTCTTATCCCGGAGTTTGTTGAAGGATCTCAAAGTTATGTGGAAACCCTCCCCGTAGAGGCGGTTAAATTTTGATTTAAAGCTTTTGTGACTGCAGGGATTCATATTCTTGGTTCTTTCGGTAAAGTCACGTAGAAGGGAAACAATAAAATAATAAAATGTCGTGAGAATTTTATTGTTTTATATTTTTATTATGGAAGTCAAAAAAGATGGCAAGCTACCTTTTTAGGATGTTCTAATAAAAAAGAGACCTGATGGTTCAATGAGCCACTCTGTCTACAGAAAAGCTACCCATACGAATGCTTACCTGAAACCGGATTCCCACCACCATCCATCCCAGAAGAATTCCCTCATCAAGAGTCTGCACCATAGAGCCCAATGCATATTCGGCCAGGAACTCATAGCCAGTGAACTCAAGCACGTACACCAAGCTCTTAAGGCTAATGGGTAGTCCGCCTACACAATCCGCAAAGCTATCACTCCAACCATGAAGAAGGACCCTCTTGAGGAGCCTTTCAAAACCATCATTTTACCCTACATTGCGGGGATCACAAAAAAGATCTCCAAAATCTTGAATAAACACAAGATCCAGGTTCGATTCAACACATTACATAAAATCCGTGATCTGGTTCCATCTGTAAAAGATGTGATTCCGGACATACAATACCCTGGTGTCTACAAACTAAGTTGCCTCTGTGGTAGTAGTTACATTGGAGAAACCAAACGACATGTCTCGGACCACATTCATGAACACAAAGCAGACCTAAAATACGGTAGGACCAACACCTCGGCCGTGGCAGATCACTGTTAAAATTCAGTAGGCTCACATGACATTGACTTCTCCAAGGCAGAGGTTCTTTGCAAGCCATCTGGCTACCGTGAAAGATTCGTTCATGAGGCTATCCACATATACAAACACAGAGACAATTTCAACCAAGAAGATAGATTCTGGCTTAGCAATCATTGGAAGGATTTGATAAACCATTTCGGGTCTTAATTGATTGTTCACGCTTACGGTGGCTTTCAGATCGCATCCATTATTTTCGTCTCTCCCCTCCTCTTTTCCGAACATAGATGGACTCGTTCATCTGAATAACTGCCAAATCGCTCTCCGTGGTGCAAAAGTAAAAAAAACGCCACTTTTTTCAAATACAGTACTGTCTATCAGAAATGTTATTTGGACAATGAATTTAGACGATGAAGCTCTTTTTCACAGATGTACAGTAGGGGCGGGTCAGCAAGTTACAACAGCAAACAATCGAAAGAACTCGATAGAAGTGCAAGATCGATACAAAGGTAATCAAGTCTCTACACATCAATAGTAAATACATTCATTACATAAGTCAGATTTATCAAGATTATGCAAGGCAGCAAAACAACGACAAAACGGTCCTAGACGACACCAAAATAACACCACACAGTAGTAGTCGCTCAATGAAATGGCAAATTGACGTCGAATCATCGATCCTACACAGGCGACGATCACAGTTACAAATCGAATTTGGAATGTGACCGCATCTCTCAGAGACGTGTTCCATAGCTGTCGACTCCTTATCAGTGCCCCATCTTATTACAGACCAATTCAGACCTCATTGGTCATTCCGTGCCCTTATAAATATCAACGTTCATCCAACAAAGTTCCATCACAAGGGAGAAACACAAACAAATACACACACACTTGTATGTATTTTTTGCCCGTATTGAAACGGCTGTGCGCCGTGTGGATCTGGAAACCCAATTTCCCTGTACAAGAATACGGGTGGGTAAACCGTGTGGGTTGACACGGTGTGCTGTGGTGTTTTGCCACTCACCCCGTTGGGGTAGTGGTGGACCATGACGCCGAGCTTCTCGTACATGGAGGTCAGCGTGCTGCCGTGCTTGAGGTCACTGGCCAGGAGCCTGCGGTTTACCATGTGGTAGTAGAGGGCGTTCCGCAACTCCCGGTTCACGTTGCTGACCAGCGCGTCCAAGACTTCCTGGAGACATCGTGCGCGTGCGTGCGTTTGTTGGGGACAGGTAAAAAAATATCGCCATTATAGGGAGACAAAGGCGGCCGGGCGTGGCGCTGGTCACTCCAACCCTCTTCGCGTGCCGTGCCGACCTTCATAGGTGCTACTCGTTAACAGCACTTGCTCAAACAGTCTTGTTAAGGTGCTACACGGGGGATGTTTGTCTTTTGGGATAGGTGAGTGTGAGAGAGAGAGCAGGAGAGAAACTGACAGCCCAGAAGCATTGGAGAGGAAGGAGGGGAGGGGCTGAAGGGGGCTGACCCCCCCCCCGCCTCCTCCTGAAAGATGAGCCCTCTTCGTGAAATACGTTATAGTCGAGTCAAAAATAAAATATTCACGCATGAATTACGATAATTTAGTGGTGGGCGTCGCAATGAGAGCTCGAGCAGAATACGTGGTAGCCAAAAGCAGATGAAACCGTCACTCATCTGGTTCAGCGTTTGTTTAAATTTGGCGGTGTCGTGCCACCCACCCACCCACCCAACAACCCCCGTCACTTGTTGCACGCCTCCACATTCAACGAGGTCTCACGCTCCGGGAGGCTGGTTGGGGAGCGAGACACCGTTGCACGTGGACGCACGCACGCACCCACACGCAGAGAGAGAGAGAGAGACCACGCCACATGCGGTGCACACACAGATTGCCTGGCGTCTCACAATAACCGCACCAAGGAGCAATGTTTCCTTCTCGGAGAATTGAAAACGAATGTTTCCCATTAATCACGCACGGTGACATGCAAATCCCAGGATACTAAGAACTGATTGGAAATGAATTAACAGGGGAAATGCCATGGCAGGTGGGCCGAGTTGGTTGACCCCTGGCTGGGATTTGATCTTGGAATCTCATTATTGCGAGTTGCGATGCACTCCAAAGGGGGTTATACACCTACTGCCAAATCACCTCGAATGTGCCCCATCGTGTCAACTCTTGGAAGCTGAGCAGAGTTTGCGTCTCGTTAATACTTGGATGGGAGACTGCCGTGGAATACCAGGGGTGTTGTAGGCTCAGTGTTCGAGCTGACTCGGGTATATTCTGGACAGCAATCTAATCTATCCGTGTGAGGCTTTGAGCGTTATGCCTTCGTACGCACTTACATTTCTGGGTGGACAGAGACTTGAGGATTTAAGAAACGTGCCCATTGCTTCAACTGCCACGGTGGGAGATCGATGGAGCGACCTTTGGATTACAAATCCAGTGTGCTAATTACGCTCCACCCCCGTAATTACTGTTATTACTCATTGTTATTATCGCCACATCGTATGTGACAAATTTGTTACAGCTGATAGCTCCCACTTGTAACCTGGCCGCAATGCCACGGCCATGAGTGCCATGCCCTGTGGATTGGGCTCCAGAAAGAAGCAGCATCGGGGAGGATGGGGTGGGGGTAGCAGCTTGGGAAGTGCTGTGTGGTGGGGAGCGGTGGGGAGCGGTGGCGTGGCGTTTAGCTCGCTGCGCTACGAACCTGGCGACCCGAGTTCGATTCCCACTCACGGCCACCAACACCAGTGACGATTATCTGAATCGGTCCTGAGCCTCCCCTAGGTCGACTCAGCCTCAAGCGAGTACCTGGTGCGGTGTGAAAACATCGTGCTAGGCCACCAACCACCTCGTGTTCCGTTCCGCCCTTCATAGGGTGCTCGCTAACAGCACTTGACCCAACAGCCTGTTAAGGCTCTACCGGGCGGGGGGGATCTTTGTCTTTTGTGTGGTGGTGGCGCTTGTTGTGAGGCTCGCTTACCGTGGGCAGCTCCGTCCACCCCTCGTTTTGCGGGGCGAAGTAGGTGACGGTTGCGTGCCCGTCCAGCTCGCCGCGTAGCTCGGCGCGCTGGGAGTATTCCTGCGTGGCGGTGGCGTCCACGGTCTCCAGGGTCCTGAACACGTTGGACAGCGGCGCGACTGTGCAACGCGCGAGGCACACGCGCACACAGACGAGTGCAGGTCAAGATCAACCGCGATTGTACGCGTGTCAGCATGGCGCAGTACGATCCCAGCATGGAACCGTACGTTGCCATCATGGCACGATACGATGCCATCGTACTGTGTCATGATGGCAACGTACGGAGCCAGCATGCCCAAAGCCGCTGTCTTGGTTGAATAATTAGGTGTGTTTTTTTTTTAAAGAGCGCCTTTGCCATGTGGGAAGAAACCGTAGTCCTCGGAGGAAAAGAATCCATGTGGCACGTGGCAATAGCACTCAAGAGGTCATTGCCGAGGGAATGAATGGACCAATTGCTGCACTGCCATGCCCTGGTCATCCTGGGGCGCTGTGGGATTAAGAGTCTGAAACATACGAGATCCAACAATCGTTAGCACAAACGTGCTATATTACAGGCATCCAATTCCCAAACTATGCTAATCCACTGCTCCATGGTTTCAAGTAAATAAAATAGTTGTGTGCATGGTTGGTGTTTTTTTTTATATTTGGCACAAAAGTCCAATGTTGCCAAAGCAGACCCCGTCAATTACTTGAAGCCTCGTATAGCGTTTTTATGTCTTAAGTGCTTCTAAGTTCTTCCCAAGGCCATTTGAAACGCGCTGTTCTCTCAGCTGTATACAAGAGGCACACGTAGCTTGTGAAACAGCACCCGCACAGTTAGAACCCAATGTTCGTGAAGGGCGGTGCAGCTTGTTCAACTCACTTGCGGGGCATCCTTTCTCTCCCTCAATCGAAATGAATCCAGGGCAGCATTCATAGCTCACAGTTCTATGAATAAAACATTGACAATCCAGCTTTGATAAAATAAATAAATGTCACGACAAAAACAAAAATACAACGTGCACCAATGCCAAGGGGATGTCACATTATTTGTTAGTAAAATTAAAGATGACAATAAAGTTCCGTGCAGAGTATGTTGCCAGTGGCTTAGCTGACGAGTGTGAAGGCGGTGCAACTGCGGCCGTGGTCCACGGGACGGAGGAGTTCATAAGCTGGGCTATGAAGAGAGGGGAAATTGGATCGAGCCCAAGCTCACCGTACCCCCATTTCATCCCTTGCACCAGGGGCCCCATGCCAGTCACGCTATCCCTACTCGATCATAGGCTGTGCAGTGAGAAATACTCGAGCTCCTTTCAGTGGCAAGACTGATAAATGCACTTATTGAGTACAAAAAATAGCAGGGTTTATTCCTTCAGCTTGTAAAGAGGAGGAACACTCCCCCCTGCCGACTGTAGTGAGGATGAATGCGCAGCGCAATTATTCTGCTCGTTACAGCAAGTTTGTTGATGGTGGAAGCAATTTCTTCAGCTGGGTTTTAAGATTTTTTTTTATGGTACAACATTTCGTTTTGCCATATACGTGTTCAAACCGAAAACTCGTCATTTGTATTAACACATTTATTTGTTGCATATATCGGCAGCTAGCCTGCTGAACAAAAATAAAATATCACTCTTAGCTCGCAATTCTCCAGATAAAGCCCCTGTGACATTTTGATGAATTGTAGCTGGCCAGACATCACTTTTTTTTGTTACAAAAATATCAATACATTACAAATGACCACAGAAGGATAATTTAACATCATAAACCAGCTTAATTTATCAATGAATAGTGTCCATGCTCGCTGGTAGAAAGGAGTAGACATGTGACTAGTAACCATAGTCATAGCGACGGGTAGATTGGATGTTGTGTGCGGCGTGCAGAAAATTAAGCACCGCACAAAAAACACATCTCATTATACGTTAAAATTCTAACATTGTGCGTTTAACGTGTCGCCACTGCTCGGCGCAATTATTAAAAAGCATAACATGCCGTATGTGCACCATCATCGGTGGAATTCCATTTCAAGCTATGAAATCTCGAAGGGGGGGAAACCATTTCACTCGATAAAGCACCACGCGGTAAAATATCATAAAATATCACTCGGTAAAATATAATAAAATATCACCCGCCGCTCACGCCGACGGAATGAACCCCCCCCCCCCCCACCAGAACTACGTGGGGGGGCGCAGAGATGGGACGAGGGTCGGGCTCATCTTGCTTGCTCGGTTCGTACGAAAATGTCGAACTCTAACGATTATAATAATAAGATTCATACCCCCCCCCCACCCCCCGAGGTTTACATAGCCTACATTTATGCAGTCGGCATGGTAACGGTGGATTGCAATCCGCCCTGTGTCCCGGGTGCAAAGAAATCGGAAAGGCGGTTCTCCCCAACGCGGCGCGCGCCTTTGATGTCTAGACGCGGGCCACATGTTACCATTTTATTTGCTCTCCGCTCTGCTGCTGCTGCATGTCTGTCTCCAGAGCCCTTCCCAGTCCCACTCGCGCCCCAGGCGGAACGTGTCGAGACTCCTCAGCTCTGTGTTTGGGGAGGCTACAAACCAGGGCAGGCCTCTGAACCGTGATGGTGAGACGCGATACTGCCTATCACGGACGCTAACCCGTCCGTTAACACGTCCCTGGTCGCAGTATTCGGGTCCTGACCATCACGTGCTGGGTTTTCAACCTGCTGGATTCGTCTCGGTGCGAGTTGATGGCCAAATCGTACAGGGCAACCCAGGTGTACAATCAGGGCCGGATTAAAGCACGGGGCTTTAGGGGCTGCAGCCAAGGGGCCTCCGCTAGCTGGTGGGCCTCCAGAGATGAAGTGAAAAGTTATTTCGTTTGTGAATGCTGAATTGTATTTGTTGTTAGCCTGGTAAAAAATATTTTTTTCTATAACTTTGTTTTCCTTTTGAAAATATGACTGGGGGCCTCACGGTACCTGCAGCCCAGGTGTGTCTACAAAATCTTAATCCGGCCCAGTGTACAATGCAATATATTCTGCGTGTGTATGTGTGTATAGCGCTCTTCATGCGGGGCATCCCAGGGCACTGTATAACAAAGTATTGCGAATAAATAAACATTTGACACTACAGAACTGCATTGTAACGCGTGGAATTAAATGTCTTTGTTACGTCCGCTGGCAAAAAAATGCAGGCAATTTTGTACACATTGACATAATTAATAATGAAAGTGAACATTCACAATTTGTCATCCACTGATAGCTGAATGCCTCCTCCATGCCTCATAAGTTGAGCCACGCTGCTCAGTGCAGGCTGGTGATGTGGGGAGCACATGCCCGATTCAGCTATCATTTGCCATTGATGTTAACCATGGCCAGGATTCAAACATTGGTTGCTCGGTTGTCAGTGCAGCACGCTAACCATTGCACCTCCACCCACATTGCAACCCCTCCCATAACACATTGATGATATATGTGTGTGTGTATAAAACATTCAGCAACCTCCATCCTTCAGGGAAAGCCAGGTCAAGCCACGAGCTGACAATGCCAAGGAATGATTGATTTTAATAATTACTCGTTTCAGAAATACGTGTCTTAGTTCGAAATGGCGAGTGCAGCTAGCTTCCAGTCTTCACCACCACAGCCACTGTCGCAGAGGCTCACGCGGCATGTGTCATTATTGTCTTTAGTTTCATCTGGGGCTGAGCTCTGGAAAACATTTTTCTCTCACCAACCCCCCCGCTCCAGCGGGGTGGATGTGATAGGGTGCAGAGAATTGGGGAGTCACAGAAAATACTTCTGGAGAAATTCAGTCGTGCTCCTGTTGTTGAAGACGTTAACTTTGTTGGTCAGTGCTGTAGTTATATATATGCTGCTGCTGGCTTTTACTTCAGTAGCGTGTAAATCCTGATAACTTTTGAAAGGTTAAGCCAGTGGCATGAATTAACGGCCACGGTTTTTGACTGGGGAATCAGGCAAGCAGGCATTTGCCTCATAAGCCAGACTTGGAGTTTTGCCATAGCAGGCTTAGCCCAATATAAATAACTGGCGGTTGAGATTCAAGTTTGGCCAATTTTAGGATGACCCAAGTCCAGAACTAGCTCGCTGAGCAAATTCCCAGTGACTCAGTGGCTCAGTACAACCTTGTTAGCATGTGAGTTGCATATAAACAAATTCAAATCAACAACAACCTGACGCATTTGTTTTGAACTCTTATATAACATCATATGGGTTGGGTGGCATTCTTTTGCCAACAGCCATTCTTCGGAGCGGAGAGACACGGGTAAATAAATTGATCGATTTAGAATTGGATAATCTCACTTTGCTCGTTCGTGGAGCCATTAGAAAGTCGGGTCATTTAAAATAAAGTTGACGTGATGAATGCTTAATCGATATCGAAGCACATTTTCCGTGAATATACATTGATTAACAAAAAACCGTATAAACTCAACAATACATATTAAGATGACAATAGCTATTGATGCTACCAACAAATGTGTGCACATATAGCACTGATTAAATATAAGGCAGTGTTAATGAAGAATAAGGTGATTTGTTTTAATCAAGTTTGTGTACGACTGCCAATGCAGCCCATTTCTTTGCTTCATTAATTTCATTTTTGTTAATATACCAGTCATTAAACAAAAACAGCATACAACTACGTGCAATGTGCACACACACGTAAGCTGTTCGTGTCATGTGAATTGCTCCCTCCCCAACCGACTGCCTCCCCAGCCCTCCTTACGTCGGCTTGCCGCAGATCTTCTTCTGATACCAGGACTTGCACGAAGAGAAGTAGCGCTTGCTCGTGCCATCAATCTGCTGCACGGCACACGTGTTGGCCCTGTGGGGACGCACGCAGATGGGCCGGATGGCCTCCAACCTCAAGGACGGGAACTTTCCAAGCTGTCAAAAATTATATTTATACACCCCGTCGTCAATCCACTGCTGAATGAAGGACTTTCTTTCCCACGCCGTGGTCAGTCAAGGGGGTTGCCTGACCATACTTCACCGCGCTGGGCAAGCGTGGCTTTATGAAGGCGGAGGAGTGCCCAGAGCGCGGGTTTAGAGAGGTGACTCGCCCCCTGACGTTAGTCGTGGCCGGGGATTGAAACGTGGGTCACAGCTAACGGCTGTGCCACTACTCCCCCAGAATATAGACACTATTAACAGTCAATAGTGATGTATGTACATCACTGTACCTAGCGACACCTACCGATTCCCGCTCACGGCCAACACCAGTCACGATTATCTGAACCGGTCCTGGGCCTCCCCTAGGTCGACTCAGCCTCAAATGAGTACCTGGTGCGGTGTGTAAACATCGCCACTGTGTACACAAAGGCGGCCGGGCGTGGTGTTGGCCTGCCACACCCTCGTGTGCCGTGCGGGCCTTCATAGGTGTTCGCTAACGGCACTTGCCGCAAAAAAAGTCTGCAAAGGCTTTGCGGGGGATCTTTGTCTTCGAAACACCTCACGGAGTATCAAGAATTCTTCAGGAGTATTTTTTTTTGCATTTTAGTTGAGTGTTTTTGTTGTACGTGGTAATAATCTGGAATCCCTGGAGATAATCCCACGCACGAGAGGAGACTAAAATCGATCGCCTGTCTCTACGCCGCTTGCTGTACTACCTTGTGCCGGCACCTCGTTGCCATGAAGGTGGGTTTCTAATGCCCACAGCACAGAACAACTCAGTTATGCAGGGGGACCAACACTGCGGATCATAATTGTCAGTGATGTTAATGGGAATCCGTTTTTTGGGATATGCAGGATGGGGACAAAAAGAAAACGGCGATAATTGTGGACAATAGGAGTTGCGAGGTGCATATGAGAGGAGTTATATTGTAATGGTTCTAGCTTGGCGTGATCCACGAACCCTACATTCGAGTGCATGGATCACAGCTGTACATCACCTTGTCAGCCAAATAAAAAAAAGTTGCTTCAGAGTTTGATAGGAATGCAAAACGCTTTTCCACAAATGTCATTCGAAGATTTTTTTTTACTTTAAAAGTCAGAACCTTGGAAGTTTGTTTTCCATAGGGAATGTGACCATAATAACCCTAACCGAGGAACCCTTGAATAGTTTTCATATTTGAGCTCTTATTTCTCAGAGCCAAAACTGAAATCCCACAATGGAAACTTGGTGCGTATGTACACGTGTCCTGATGGAATTGTGGGGAGCGCTAGTGCGGTGGTTAGCACGCGGCGCTACGAACCCGTCAACACGAGTTTGATTCCCGCTCATGGCCAATAACGGCGGTGAATCTTTGAACCGGTCCTGGGCCTCCCCTAGGCCGACTCAACCTTAAATGAGCACCCGGCCGTGGTGCGTAACCATCAGCACTGGGGAACACAAAGGCAGCCGGGTGTGGTGCTGGCGACGTGGACACCGCGGGTGACGTGCGGACTTTCATGTATGCTAGCGAGCAGCACTTGCTCCGACAGTCTGTGAAGGCTCTATGGGGGATCTTTGGCTTGTGGGTGCGATTGCATAAGGCGATTACACATGAAGGGGAGAACTTGAAGCTGGAGACATTTTCAAAGCCCCCTTGGTTGTGGGCCCATAACAATTCCAGATGCTCTCGTAAATCACTCCCCATAAAAATAACCTCAAATTAACATTTTGAAAGCGTCGTTTTCGCTAACATAGCACGAGCCGTCCGAATAATTAATGAACTCAAAACTGTGACCCTTCAGTTGATTAATGTTACAGACATCGTAAGATTTTGACCGTTTGTTGCCAGTTAAACATTAATTGCATAATGTAGTTTTCATGGGGTTTCCTTTCAAGGATTATCTGTATGAATGTATGTACATATTTAGTATTTGTATACGAAGATGTACACACGCTATATAACATATGCAATGATATATGTGTCCTGCGTATATATATGCCAGGAGTAGTTTAAAAAGTTTTAAGCTGAAATAATTAAGAGTTTCATTCATCTACAGCATGGCTTATTTTGAAGCCCTTTATCATAGTATATGCAAGTTACTGTTAATGCAGTTTAGATAAAAAAACACGTATATTTCTGTTTATTTTTTAAGATATTTTTTTCATTGAATGCCTCTCATCAAACAAGTTTTGCTGGCTGGCTAGCTGGCTGGAGGAAGGGACGGACAGACAGTCAAGTCCAAAGGACGTGCGAGCTGCTCGTTGGAAAACAAAAAACGAGCATGTTAGATGTTGTATCTGCACTCAAAAACAAATGGATTGGCTTGATTCATGAATAACTGATGATGAAATATACACAACGGGACAAGAGACAAAAAAACACTAATACAAAGGGCCAATTTAAAGCAATGCAGATGATATGGGAGCAAGTGGTGGCTGAGTGACCCTGGGGTCAGAGCACTGAGCTGGCACCGATGAGATCCTGGGTTTGAATCCGGGTCTCAGTTACACTTGGTTTAACTGGGTTCTCAAGGCTAGCGAGGTGATGGTCTCAGCCACGTCACCAATGACTGCACAACAACAAAAAATCCCCCATCACTTTATAATTTGTGTTTTTTTTCCCCACTTGTTTTGAGTTAAGAAAAATGTTGCTTTGACTGCCAGGCGATGGACATTTCTCTGCAGCAGGTTAAGTGGGAAAATGTGCCCTTTAGTGTTTGTTTAACAGGGTCTAGAGGGGATCTGAGAAACTGTTCTGTGACATCTGCTTCAAGGAGCCTTTACTTTAACACACGGGCGTGATGGAATGCTCCGTGAGGATTTCGACGTGACCAGTTTGTCACCCAGCATGATCCTGATAGCACAGTTGGAATAACACTTGAGGAAATGGCAACAAAATAAACAAGTAAAATCAAGGCAGTAAGGAAATTCAATAATGGCATCAGCGCTGGCAAGCTCTCCAGGCAGCAGGGCAATGAGATCCATCAAAGAGCACGGTTCATTTATAATGGTGACCCAGATAAAATACACTCCAATAATGTGACCAAGTAATATGACATTTTCCATTTTAACACAATCGACCACTTCCCAAAACCCCGCTTACCAACTGGGCTCCAAGTAAGCTGAGAAATTCCAAAGCATTTTTCCAGAACCATACCGAAGGAAACAGGGAAAAGAGAATTAACAAAATGAATAGTGCCAGGTATTGTTGGGGAAACGGGCTGGCACGATATCAAGCTATCCAGAGAAAATTACAACGTGAAAATCAATCATGATTTCACAACAGAGAAACACTGCGAACTTTCCATTTTCCAAAAACAAATGATTTATGCTTAACTGGCATTAGCCTGACACTAGCACGTGGGGTGGTCACTACTGGCATTGTGTACAGTGAGTCATGTATTGTTTTAGTCTGTGTTCCTAATCATCTGTGTGTAATTGGATGGAATCCATCAAATTTTGTTTACTTCATTTCAACTTAAAATATCCGAAATGCATTCAACAAAACGTGAAGGTGATATATTTATTTATACTGTTCATGAATCGAAACACATTTATCGAATAACTTTTACATTTTCATTTGTTCTGTGGATTTTTAAAAATACATTTAATTTAAAAGAAAAAAATACGTGAATAGAATAAATTTAATCCAATTTGCCATGCAAACTCACTGCATATCAATTGTACACGGTCATTCTGGAAACTCACTGCATATCCATTGTACACGGTCATTCTGGAAACTCACTGCATATCCATTGTACACGGTCATTCTGGAAACTCATTGCATATCCATGGTGCACGGTCATTCTGGAAACTCACTGCATATCCATAGTGCACGGTCATTCTGGAAACTCACTGCATATCCATGGTGCACGGTCATTCTTTTCGTGCCACACTCGGAGGTATAAAAAAAACAGGACATATTACAAGACCAGAATAGCGGCTAACCACACGCAAGTGCATTGTCTTGAGTGGTGTATTTAAATAAACATTTTTTTATTATGCAGCTGAGAAAAATCTGGACCTTTAATGTCCTGCGAAGATTGACAGATTTTCCAAGAAAACAGCTTCCTCAAAAAGATGACGATCCTGGGAAAATGAGAACAGGTGGTAAGACCCATGGCAGTCACTTTCCTCGTTGCCAAAACGGTGGCAAACACCAGAATCCCGGGGCAGCCCAATGCCTCACTCGCTCATCACGCTTACCCCTCGCTCCTGCCTCGGATGCGGCTGTGTAGCAGCAGGCGGTTGAAGTAGGGGCTCGCATCCCCGTTGGGCAGCAGCAGCAGGAGATGCAGCAGTAAGGTGCCAAGCTGGGCCACAGACACACTCCGAAGTGCGCTTGCATACCCCATCGTTAATGTTACTGAGCTAGTGGAAGAAAAAAAAACAACAACAATGTTTTTTGTCCTCAGTCCAAGTGGTGGTACCAAGAACCTCCTGGGTCCCGTTCACCCAAATTAACAGCACGGCTCACTGGCTCCTCCACTTTTATGTGTGCGTTAACGCTGGTGGGATTGGTTAGGGGGGGTTGGTGGGGTGTGAGTAGGTTGGGGGGGGGGCGTTGTTTGCAGCGTTGGAAGAGGAGGGGAAGGGGTTTTGAAGTTTCTCCAGGGATGTATGGTGAGGCGGGGGAGGGTGTTAGTAGGGAGTGGGTGAGATTGTGAGTTGGGGGGTAGGGTAGGAAAGAGAGCATGGGTGGGATGGTGTGTGTGTGTAAAATTTTAGGGAAATATTTGGGATCTTATTAGAGACCCCTTCGCTCCACCCAAAGGCCTCGCAACTTTTGTTTCTTTCGGGACTCCAGGAAATGTTTTGAACTTTACCCTCACCCACCCACCCACCCCTCCTTTTAATGAGCGCAATTTCAGCGCTGCATAGCTGCAATTACACAGGCTGTAAAATCTGACACCATGCGTGCAGCCGTTTTCCATTGCAGATGTGTGGCGATAAGAGATACGCTTTCATTTTTGGAGGTCAGGGGTGGAATAAATAAAGAAATGCATTTTTATGTTATTACTTCGGGCAGCACGCGTGCAATTTTGGAAAAAAAGGCCACCCATTGATGGTACGTTCTTGGTAATAACTAAATGAAACCACCTGTTATTTCACGTTATGAAATTTGCAAGCAATCATTGCATTTAAACTGGTGAACAATTATTTAATGTGTTTAACATGGTAAGTTGATTAATCATCTTCATTAATGAGCAAACTCTGAAAAACTTACACCCAAATATATTCATGAAGAGTGATATAGATACATACGTTCGTCCACCAAGGAGATAGGGCAATAGAATGAGTTCATGCGGAGGAGCTAGATGCACCATTGCATCGCAGAACCTCGGCAGATGGTGGCAGCGTCGAGATACCTTCATCCAGCAGTGGATAGGTCATGGCTAATGATGATATCGTTTCATATTGAAACGGAAATCCGTGGGAGATGTATCAAGACGCACTAGATAAGTGAGCAAAGATGGGCACTTTTTTTTACACACATTTTAAAACTGCCACACCGAGAGCAGCTGAAACGCAATTCATCGCGAGCACGGTGATGACAAAGAGATGGGAATCAAAGAGGAATATGCACATCGGGGACGTAGCGAGAGAAGGAGACATTGCTCGGCAGGTCAGATACACGAAAGGCTCAAGTGACAGGGTTAACGGCGAAGCAGGCAGAGGGAAGCGATCGTCAAGCCCATCTCTTGAGTTGGGGACGGAGGGAAGAATGCCAAGGACAGGGGTTGGACAAATAGTGTCTTGGAGGCCTCGCCAAAAAGAGAGGGCAGAAGAGAACGGTGATGAAGAGCAAGTGCATATGTTGAACTTCTTTCGCACCGTACGTAGCCAGCCGTGCTAATCGGAGGTGCACTGTTGAGTCTATGGGTAGTGTTAGTCTATGTGCAGTATGTATGTATGATGAGCTTCTTTCGCGCCGTGCGTAGCCAGCCATGCGAATCGGAGGCGCAGTGTTGAGTCTTCGGGTAGTGTTAGTCTATATGCAGTATGTATGTTGAACTTCTTTCGCATTGTACGTAGCCAACCATGCAAATCGAGCCGTCCTCTGGCTGCCCACACACTCCTTGTTCAATCCATCAGTGGAGAGATCAAAGCTGATGATGACGAAGCCTCAAGAATTGCCTCTTCTTTTCTGTTGATGAGGTTCTGCCTCTCCCAGTTGCGTCGTCATTTGCTTTTGTATCAAAACAACCTCTGTCCTGAAACAGTCTGCCTGTTTTTCCCTGCTAAAAATAAATAAATCTCAATAATTCTACAGATGCCCATATTTGCAGTTATCTCTCCAGCATCAACTATAATAAACTTAACCTCAACTATTTGTATATATATATTTTTTAATATTTCACCAGGTAAAGGCCCACTGAGCTATGTAGCTCATTTTCAGAAGCGACCTGGCTACCAGAAATTATTAGCTTATCACGTTGATATTGTAGCAGCCAAATACTCTAAACACCACCGCAATGCGCACATGTTTTATCCACCAGGGAGAGTGGGCAATGAAGTTGGGTCACGTGCAGGAGCTAGATGGACCATTGCATTGCAGGACCACGAAAGTTGGTGGAAGCTTGAAGAGGCCTTTTTTATTATAAAAAAAACGATTAGGCGTTTTAGAAAATACACCACCTAAATTCTCAAATAAGCACTGAGGTGGTGCTCATCTGTTAACGCCGAGATGGGGGACAGGAAGGCTTCGAGAGATATTGTCTACCAACCTACTTGAGTGCAGAGGCGACACAAACTTTTGTTGAATGAGATAACTAACGAAGCAATGCGTGAAAAACACGTTTTTCTCGAGATACAAGCAGGGTTTTTGTTGTTGTTGTTTTTGTTGTAAGTATGTAACAGATAAAAAAAATACAAAAGCCCTTATTTTTTTTAAGTGCAAAGGCTTTGACATTATTCTTGCATCATGTACTTGGAATAAAAAAAATCATCCCTCCTGCTTTGTAAAACCCATAATTTGATAATGCCATGTGCACCGATGCCTACTTGATTGAGGGAGAAATTGCCACTAAAAATAAGTATTTATTGATTGCCTATTGGCCAGTCAAAAGTCAAAGTAATTTCCGATGCTCAAATGAGCGTTGAGGCAGTGGTCACCTGTTAATCTCCTTGAGCCAGCCGTGGAAGATCAACAATCCTATGGCAGCTTGGAATTTCATCCAAAGGACAACCACTGTTGGCTTCCTCACAGAATGATTCCGTATTTTATCAACCCCAGGGGATGATGGGCTGAGTCAACCCCCAACTCGCAACCTCCTGATTGCAAGCAGCTCGATCTACCGCTGAGCCACGTGACCAAAGAAGAATAGTCCCTGACTTAACAAAAAATAAACTATTCTTTTCCTTTTTTACCAGGTAAGGCCCACTGAGCTCTAAAACTATTTTTTCAGAAGCAGCCTTGCCACAAATGATAGCTCAACGAAGTGATTTATCACGTGGTAATTTCTTGCAGACAATTACTCTAAACGTATATTTCTAAATATTTATAAATGGAAAACGGGAGGACCCGGAGAAAAAAAAAAACATAATTTGACCACGGAGAGAGAGACACGCAAACTCCAAATAAACAGGCGTCGGGGTCAGGATGGAACCCGCAGGCGGGGTCGTTAACATCTCGCCATCGAGGCGCCCCTAGAAAAGATTGCACAAGCAACTTACGACACGATTTACAGTCATCCAGAAGTGACCGCCTATATTTTATGCTAAGGCATTACGCTATCACTAACGCATGCTGACCATGTGAATTAAGTTAACGTTTCTGGGCGCTGGATGGGTGGGGGGGGTAGGGGGGTTGTGGGGTGAGGTGTCGGGCGCTGGTTTGAGTTGTAGAGGGGTGTGCATGAAGAGAGGAGTATATATTTTTTTTTGGGAAGGTCACAGGTCAACTACTGACCGCCGGATGAGTAACGGCAAACGCACTTAACAGACCTGGCTAAACGCGAACCAGACTTTGAGACGCGAGTAACGTCCCTCCCCCCGGGGGGGGGGGGGGGGGGGATGCGTGCGATCAATGGTATAGGATTTCCGACGCGGTCACTGCCTGCAAATAAATGCATCCAAACAAATCACATATTCTTAGCTCTTTCGGTAAAGTCACGTTGAAGGGAAACCATAAAATAATAAAATATATATAAAACAATAAAAATTCTCACAATACAAACGGTCGTCATCAGGTGTGTCGGTTTGCATTATTTTATTTTATTAAAATAATGCAAACCGACACACCTGATGACGACCGTTTGTGTTATGGTCGAAACGTCGTGAGAATTTTTATTGTTTTATATATTTTATTATTTTATGGTTTCCCTGCAAACGTGACTTTACCGAAAGAGCTAAGGATATGAATTACTGCAGTCACGAAAGCTTTAAATCAAAAATCACATATTGTGTGAACTACAAAATAACTGCATGCGGGGTTGTACATCGATGCGGCTTAAGTGCTCGGATATACCTAAATACGTCCGCTGCCATTTGCTTTTGGAATCTTCGCAAACATCAGCCCGGTGAGTTGTTGTGTCGGTGACCATGCCATGGCTTGCCTGCTCTTGTCGGCACTGCGCTGCAAGGCGGCTAGCAGAGGGCATTACCGAGTGTCACTCCCACGTACGCACGGTGGATATTTCTCCGGGTACGCCTGTTTTCTTCTGCTGCACAAAGCCAAACTGTTATCCATGGAATGGCTAAACGTCTCAGAGCAGGGTCGTCAAAAGGAATCCTGAGATTCATCGAGGCTTTTCCTGGGTAAATAAATGGCATTGTTAAATATTCATTCTACGTGAAATCGGGTTGTCCGTCCATAGCGTACTGGATAAACTAAATGGGATTCACTAAACATAGACTGTTATGTCTACTGTCGATGTCACAACGAAACACTGATGTGTTGTCTGTGGCACGGTTACACATGGCATCAAAAGCAATAAAATGTAAAAAAAATAAAACATTGGCTGTGTATTTTATTTCAGCGCAATCATTCATAATCCCTTCCTCTGGATAGCTTGATTTTCTATACTTTGTGAACTGAGCTGCACATAGGGGATAGGGGATAGTGTTTTTAGATAATCCGCGTTGATATGAGGTCCCACGGTAGACACTCCTGCCCAAAGAGCATTCTTTGGAGTTTAACAACTTGAGTGTAAAAAGCGACTGAATGCGATCCCAAGGTAAAAGTTGGAGTTGGCAGCATTTTTTTCCGCAGCGGAAAGAAACCCGCGGCAGTCGGCACGCGCCTAAGAAAGTTATTTTAAACAAGACTCCGCATGCAACGGCACGTCGTGTAGCTGTCACGCAACGCCGCTCGTTTGGCGTAAAGAGTTTACTTCCTTCATCGTGTTTATGCTCAACGTTATGAAACCTGTGGCTGAGTGGACGAGGCTGGGAGCGTGAGTGAGGGGCGTGGGGGGAGGAGGCGCGGCGGTATCGTAAATGAGCCAACGGCTCTTAAATTCCGTCCTCAAATGCTGGCGACCATGTGAATTTAATCCCATT